ATAACATTAAGCTAGAATAATGAATAGTGAATAAAAAAAGCCTAATCTTAGTAACTTCATATATCTTTTAAAAGAACACTGTCCCTGGAATCAATCCCATTTTTGTCATGGTATATAATCCTTTTGACACATTGTTAGATTTGGTTTGCTAAGATTTTATTGAGGATTTTAGCATCTGCTTCATTGGGGTAATTGGTCTGGTTTTTTTTGTGTTATCTTTGGTTTCAGTATTAGTGTGATGTGGACTTCATAAAATGTTTTGGAAATATTCCTTCTTTCTTTTTGAAAGAATTTGTACCTGATAGGTATTAGTTCATCTTTGAACATTTGATATAACTTGTTTATCACACCATCTGTTCCTGGGCTTCTGTTTTTTTGGAAGAGTTTTGATGTCTTTTGATGTACACTTTTCCTTAAGTGTGAGCACTTTTTGTTTTGTTTAGAAACGCATTCTTACCCACAAGGCCTTAAATATATTTTCCTGTATTGTTATATAGAGGTCCAGTTTTCTTTCCAAATAGGTAATAAGTTGTCCTATTTAGGCAGGAGGGGTCCTGAAACAAGGACAGCCAGGATTCAAGGACAAAACTTTGCTGTTCCCATGGGCTGGTAAACAAGCGTTAAAAACAAAACAAAAACAAAAATCAAAGCCTGAAGACTCAGTTCTAGATACCTGCTACCATAAATTTCCTTGGCCCATTGTTTTTATTAATTTTTCCCCAGCCTGTGCATTCCTGAGCTCTCTCCTTACAGCTTATCAAGTTAGCCTGCTGAAGAAGGAGCAACAGGTCTTGAGAGCAGGCTGGTTCAAACTGGAGCTGCAGGCACCTCCACGAGATGTTCACCTTGGGATGGTCAGAGCCGTGCATGACCACCAAACTGCAGCTGGTTCACACTTACAATTAGCAACACACTCAGGTGGATAAATGAACTTTATCCAAGTCCATTCTCCTTTGGCTTTCTCAGCCAATAGTATTTAATTTTTTCTTCTCAAACACCAGTCCTAAAACCTATATAGACCCCTATCCCTGACACTTCAGAGACTCATACTCAGAGGTCTCCCTGGCACTCTCTTTTATTGCTCTTTCACTAATCAATAAAAACTGACTTCTTGCCTGCCTTCACTGGTATCTCTGGAGTCCTCTTTTCCTTCTTAATCAGAGCATCTTAAGAACCCTTTCCCCAGTGTGGGAGCAGGACCTCTCAGTTCAGCTCTGATTCCCAGCCTGTAGGAGTAGTGAACTGAGGCTGGTATGCTCCTAGCTTATCTGCCTGTTCTGTGGGCAGGGGGCTGGTGTGTGTGGGTTCAGACTGAGGGGCCCTGGGCCTGCTCACTTGCCTGGTAACACTATAACCATTTATTAAGAACTATTATTTGCCACTGATATATAATGCTAGCTGCCATAAACAAGACATACTATTAAGGGTGATGGGGAGAGGTGGAGAATATGTTTTTAGGCTCTATTGTCTCATTCATAGTTTGCTTATTCATTGTGCCAATATTGGGCAGCACCAGCATCTACTTAAATGTCTTCTCTGATTTTCAGATCCCTTTCTGTTTTTGGCCTCTGTGGATTTCCCTTATGCCTTCTCTGATTTTCAGATCCCTTTCTGTTTTGGCCTCTGTGGATTTCCCTTACTTCTTGAGCCCAGCTATGCATTTAAAAGGATGTTTGTTAGATTTTATCCAGAATTTCTATGCCCATGGTGAGAGGTTTTCAAACTGTCTAATTAACCATAACCCAATGATGAAAAAGAGAAGTTGTTTAGGGATTCCTAAAACTGAATGTTTGTGATTATCTCAACTTGAGATTCAAAGGAGAAAAATCACAAAGTGCTTGCATACTGGGGACTTTTCTCTCAGTAAGAGAAGTAAAAATAACATTTTAAATAGTAATGATGTTTATGTTTTGGCTAAAACTTCACATGAAAGCACTTTGTGTAGATCAACAAAACCTGACCAAAATAATACTTAAATTTCCAAAGTAAAACAGAGCAATTGGGCCAAAAATAATCAGACCATGATGCTGATTACAGGAGAAATAAAGCCCATGGTATAAAAACCTCTTTCCTCTCATCAGAAGGACACATGTGGGAGATTTGGGAAAAATGTGTCCCTTTTGATGGACAGCTGTGATGACAAAGGACTATCAGCATCAACTACATAATGTCTCTCGTGGGAGTTGTGAAGAGAAGTAAATGAGTTAATACTTGTGAAGAACTGAACACACCTACTTCCGCAGCAGCCACTGTGGACTCTTCACTCCCTCATGGCCATGAGTCTCAGGTGGCCAAAAGTGTGAGCAAGCTGAGACATAGGTGCCTTCCCCAGCAGACCATGTTTGTGGCTTTGCACTCAGCCATGTTTGTGGCTGAGCAGTATGCCATGGAGCTGCCCACATTCTCCAAGGCAAGCAGGCCGTCGAGTTCATGAAGAAAAGTACAGGAGCACACATCTACAGCAAGAGGCAGAGAGAGGAGTTGAGCCACACCCTGGCTGCCATGTGGAAGGTGGCTGCCAAGAAAGACTGAGTCCCATGCCCCATGCATAAATAAAGCCTTTTCAGGAGAAAAAAACCCAAAATACACCACAGTGTGTGGCATATAGTAAGTGCTATATGTGTTCATGTTAGATAAAAGAGAGAGAGGAATTACAACCATATCATTTGAATCATGTGTCCCTATGCCCCTAGACAAGAAACATGGGATCCACACAGCTGAGCTATAGTTCACAATAATATTACATTATACTTATTTGTAGTCAAATCTATTCAGGGGTATAGACTGTCTTATTTTTATACCAGAGGTAGAAATTAAGAGATAGGGGAGGTACCACAATTCCATTTTTGGTTTATTAATCCACAAAATATGTTTCATTTCCTTTAAAAGATTTGGTGTTATGTGTTATACACATTTACTAGTGATTTAAATTACTTCAGAAACCACTAGCAAATTCTCCACATTAAATTCACATATTATAAAGGAAATAGACCTTCATTATTTATATAACATGTAAGAATGGGCTCAACTCTTTGGTACTATGACCTCTTCAAGATAGGGACCATATCTTGTTCCTTTCTGGTACCTGGCACAAATAGAATGTTCAATCAGGGATGAGTAGTAGGCGAACAGCACTTTAAATTACTTCAGAGTGTCCTAGGGTCATATTTGCATTACAACACATTTCTTTCTTCCTGGAAGTTCACCTTTATTAACCAGGGTCTGTATCTACTTTCAGAGGTCCTATGTGCAATATATTGACTAAGTGGTGCCTTCATTAGAATGTTCAACAAGGACAAAAAAGATTAGGAAGTTGACTCCTACCCAAGTGAGAGTTTAGACTCTATCTTTAGTCTCCCCCTTCTTCCTAATGTCTGATATTTGCAACAATTTTCGAACTAATGTAGCTCAACAAGCATATATTAAGTCTAACAATAGGTAAAGCTGTGAAAACAAAAATGGAAAAGACTTGCGTTCCCAGCCTTGCCTCCAAAAGAGCTTCTAGTTTACTAGGGAAAACAGAAACAGCTTCACAGCACTAATCCCAACTGTAATTATAATCATTTGTGCTTAATATCTATCTACTCACTACACAGTAACAACAAAAATAGTCTATTTTTTACCTCTGTATCCCTAGAATCTAACATGACATCTGTACTTAAGCACGTGGTATTTGTCAAATAAGTACATCAAACAGATAATTTTGTTATTGCATGATGAGTGCTAAGGAGAAGGTACATGCAAGATGCTAAGCCATGTACTAAGTATCAACAGTTCATGATGGGTTCACTGCAGTATAGGATAATGTCACATCTCACCCGGCCTGTGTTGTCTGTGGTGAGAGAATGAATCAGTGACTACTGATGATTATCAAAGACATGTTTATTTTTTCCCAAAGTGATAAAATTTTGTTTAGCAAACTTTCTATTTAGGAAGCAAATTTGCTTCTGGATAGCTAAGCAGGGCTAGGAAGTGACAGAGAACAGGTACTTGGCTTTGATTCAAAGTTTTAAAGAAACCATGAAATTCCATGGTTCCAGTGAAATCAGAAAGGCAGTCAAGGGCATAAGTCAGAACAGAATATTCTGTTCACTCTACTTTAGAAAAATGCCCTGTAGTCATTCTGTTTGAGGAATTGATATGCAGCAGCAGAAGGCCATGGGAATCTGGCCCAAGATGAACACCAGTGAGTTGGTTTTCTAAGATCTTTATAGCTGTAAAATTCTGACTCCTCTTGTTCCATTGCCCTTGCTTCAGAATGCTACAACCACCAATGAGCTGGATGGTCTTAGGATAGCTGCTTTTCCTTACTGATTCTTTTCCTTACTACCTCCTATGTGTTTTTCATTCCTCTGTACAAATTCAAGCTCTTTCCTCCCTGTTTTCAAAAAGAACATTAAAAACAAGGCAAAGCTCTAAACCAATATGATATATGGGCTTTTGTTTTTAAATAAACCTTTGTTTTCAAATATAACCTCTTTACAAGCGTTAAGTACATTTCGATCAAATCCTTTCTGTTGGTAGGCATAATTTTTATATTTCTCTTGTTCCTCCCAATAAGCCTAGCATAGTGCCAAGCACATAGTAAGCACCCAGATATTTGATGGAACATGTAACAAACCTAACACACTGGACACATTTAATATACAGTACAAATCAATACTATGATCGACACATACCTACTTCTCCAGTTTTCATATAGCACCCTGTTCAGCTGCTTTAATAACTTCTTTTACATATTTTACTTTACTTATCTATTTGGATCAGGCTTTTAATATTTGTTTCATGGACAAACTAACATACTATAACTTATAAAATGAAAGAGGTGAAATAATTGTGATTAAATATTTTCAATGTAGAAGGTTCTGACAAAATTGATAATTCACAAACAAGGTTGCTTTTATCATTCATCTATAAATACAACTCAACGGTCAGTTTATTTTGGAACAGCTCTTTATTGATAACTGATACTCAAACATCAACAAATTATTAATTTTTCAAATTGAAATTTTTTCTTAATCAAGTCTGCATATATGAAGAAAAGTAATACACTGGACAAGTTTTAGAATACTCTCAGGGTTTATGTAGAATTATGACTGCTTTCAACAATTACTGATACCTTTTTTCATAGAGAATCTTTGTCTAATGTATATTTGCTCATATAACAGACTGAAGATAGCCACAAGTTTTGACAGCATTCTCCAAACAGCATATAACTAAATTTAACGCCACAAATGAACTTATTTCCTTTATAACTTCACTAAGTAATTCCAAGGAATACAAGAAAACATTAAAAGTTCCCAGTGTTCACCCTAAGAATCAGGCAGTCTTCTTCAATTTTTTCTTCTCTCCTTCTTCCTTTTCTTTTTCTATTTCAGTTACTTGCAATTCAATTTCTTTGGCACTAAACATCTGAAAAGAAAAAAAATGTAAAAAGCAAGTTTCAATTATAGCAACCATTTGTAAATATAAAATGAAGTTACCTAATTATGTTTCATAAATTTGTAATTCTATTTAAAACTTACATTTCACAATTTCAAATACAGAGTAAAATGGTTTAAAAGGTTCAAAGGTAACATACTTTTAATTTTTTAAAAAAATAACTTATTTTCCCCTATGTGCACATGTTTCACATCCTCCACCAAATCACCTGCACTCTTAACCCATCTGTCTTCCTTCTCCACCCCTCTACCTTTGAAAACCATTAAGTTTTTTCACTGAGTTCAAGATTTATTTCTAATATACAAAAGCAACATACTTGGAATAATTATTTACAAATCACAATTCTGTCATTTTCATGATTATTATGCTAAAAAACAAAGTAGTGCAAAATATGACACCACATTACAAATCCAATATATGCATGATATTCTGAAAACACATTAATGCAAAGCTTATTCTATTCATGAGCAAATAACTCGTTACTAAACATACCTTACCACCGTCTACTGTGTGATTCTCTGATAGGGTCTGACTATTTTATCAGCTCACAGAATATCCAAAAAAGTAAAGATCACTTATACTGCTTTGCTTACAACCCATTCACAAAGCTGAAGCCAAAAGAGTTTTTATTTTGTTTAAATCAATTTTATTTATAATCGAAGATGGGATCAATTTGCTCAAGGTCATAGCATGAAAACAAATGAATCTGTTGGAACATAAACTCAGCTCAATCCAATTCCAAACCATGTGCTCTAGTAGCAATGCAATCTATCCTGAGATATTAATGTGGAATGCTAGTATAACTCTGCTGCCAGTATACATATCAGTCTACCATTCGTAAGTAAAAATACATGTGTAACTGGTGTGTGTGTGTCCATCTATCCACGTGCACATATCTGTCTGTGACAGAAGAGATAACTCTGGCCTTAGTGGTTATTTGTCCCTATGATATTGGCATGTCTGTCCTTGGGATCTTGGCAGCAGGGATGACAACACGACTCCCCTAACACTCTGTGCTCAGCACCATGGCTTTTCATGTGGGTTCATGTACAGGCAGACCCCACAACCCTGTACCATTCTCTTATAGACGCTCTGCTGCTCTCCTATCAAGTCCCCATCCACTGATTGACTAACAGAAGATGCGAATATGGTGTCAAAACAACAATGACTGGGCCTCTCCAGTGGCGCAGCGGTTGAGCGCTGGGTTGCAAAGCTGCCTGCAGCCTCTGCAGCACCGGTTCGATCCCCAGCCACCGGGTGAGGGTCCCACATGGTGCGCAGACCTCTACTGCCGCGCCCGCTGCTCCCCTCAGCAGTGTACTTTGGTCCTTCTGCCTGTTCTACTCCCTGCTCTGGTGAATTCTCTCACCCTCCCGCGCTTCTGACTGTACCCAGTGCTTGTATAAATAAATAAATAAATAAATCTTAAAAAAAAAAAAAAAAACCCAACAATGACTATCTTGACTTTGGAAGATGATAAGAGTAATTCCTTTCTCAGTGCTGCTAGAAATGAATCTGCACAGATAATATGCTACAGTAACCCCTAAAGGACTGACTCAATAGGGATTGCTACTTACAAGAACATATACTAAATGGAGTAGACCTATATAAATATATGTAATTCTCATAACATCTAAGTCTTCATAGAGGTGAAGGGAAAGGCAACAAAGCACATGCAAACCAGTGGATATTTTAGCCTATTGAAACAAAATACAGTTGTCATAGTGTCAGTGGATGTTTCAGGCTTATAATGAAGAATGACAGGTGTCCACAATATTTTAACTTTGTCAAAATACTTTATGCTACAGATATTCTTTTCTCTTCAATTAATGATGTACCTTTAAAGGTTGGTTTCTTCTTATGATAGCAAGTTCAATGTTTTTTCCACCAGACTGGACAACCTAATGTAAAACATTAGTAGTGTAGTTTTAGAATCACTTCAGTAAATTTCATGTTTTAAGTAGTTGGACAATGGGAAAAAAAGTGCTTTTCTGAATATGCTTTATTAGATCACTTACTTCTAGCAAAGCTCTTATTGCCAATTTTATAGCTTCACTGTCATTTGCTATAGCATCTTCTGTGTAATTCTTTTCTAGAAATTCTCGAACAGTTTTAGCACTTCGGCCTATTGCATTTGCCTTGAAAATTAAAAGATAATTATTTATATCATTGCAGTATGAATGAATTTATGGTTACTAAGTAGAGCTTAGATGCTTAGAGTTACCGACAGTATTTCTGAGTACAATTATTAAATGAAAATTATAGGCTTGGAAATTTAGCTAGCATTTCAGCAGTTCATTTGGATAATATTTAAACAATATGTAATGGCAGCATAACTTTTTTCACTCTTTTCTGATCAATGCTTCCATTATTTTAATGGCTCCCAAATCCTTGATAACCAGAAAAAATTTAAAGTTGAGACTGCAAAAGATATGGAAAGGAAAGGAAGCATCACTGTACAATATGATATAAAAGGGGAAAAAAAAAGAATGTAAACATGAAGAAAGCTAGTTACATGAACAGGACTTTCATTATTTTCTTAGAACTTACAAAAAAGTATGGTGATCATCTAATTATTGATTCATTATCTTCTTTGACTCTATTATGAGGGGCCTCTTCCGTTATGTTCCCCCCCTTTTTTTTGTTCTTTAGAAATTTTCATTTGATGCAGGAAAGAACCAAACTGATTTCCCTGACTGTATGGTTGCAGGCGGTATATGGAATGATCTTAAATCTAAATATTCAGATTAGTACTAACTAGTATTAGTACTAGTATTATGAGAATAATAATGATAATAGTAGTTCATAATAACAGATCACTTTTGTGCCAGGCACTATGCTAAACATATGACATGGATTATTTCATTTAACTATCACAAAAACAATTAAATAGGTTCTATTACTAACCCAAATCATAAAAGAAATGAAAAGGTTGGAAAGGTCAAAGTGAACTTTCACAACCTTAACATTATTGACATTTTGGGCTGGATAAGTCTTTGCTGTGGGGGGCTGTCCTGTGCACAGGATATAGGATGTTTAACACATCTCTCCCTCCCCATCCCAGATGTGACACCAAGACTATCTCCAGGCTGACTGACTGATTATACTGGACTCTTTTGTCATGGAAGGAACAGCAGCATACATTCAGTGGAAGGGAAACTTATCCTGAATGTAATTTTCCTTTCCCTGTGACAGAAGCTTCTGTTAGCTCTACTACCTATGGAGCTAATGAATGCATTCTTCACTGTCATGTATCCTACAAAACACTGCTGCTGACCAAGGAACTGACTGAGAGAAGGTGAGGGAAGGGCTTACACCCATGAGAGTCACTGAGCAAATTATGTCCTCTATCACCCTGAAGTAGTCAGTCTGGTAGAAATTTGGAAACTACAGAGGGCTCAGCTATAGGACTAGCTGGGTGATTATGAGGCCAGGTTTTGTTCTACAAGGTCCTATAAGTGCCCCCAAGCAGGAACCAGGAATTAATTTCCCCCAAAGTCACAAATCTAGGGGTCAGAGTTAAATCTCATTAGTACCTCTCATGGTCCACTTGTAAAGGTTTTCCTTTCCATCTCTACCGGATTCTATTAGTTTAAATGTTCTAATTCCTACATGGGAGGTAAGGAGGGGGATGTTTCTTCCAAGGAATGTAACAGTAATTTCACTGGACTAGAAGCTAAGACCTCTACTTGGCCATTTTGAACTTCTCATACCATAGAATTACCAGATGTAGAAGGAGTTATCGTAAGGATGGGATGGTTTATTATGATTTCTCGGAAAAATAAACTTACTACTACACAGTGGAAACAGGGAGAAGACGTTCTAGAACTGAAGAGATTTTCCTGGGGGTCTCTCATATTATTCCTAAGTAAAATGAAAAAAGTAAATGGAAAAGTTCTGTAACCCATTTAGGCAGGATCACAAATGGCCCAGAATCTTAAATAAAAAAAAAAAAAAAAAAAAGTCTGTGTAATGAGCCAGATAAAGAATCCCAACAAACCAAAGTGCTGGTAAGAGCTATTTCTATTCTCATTTTTGCAACAGGTCATGTAATCACAGTTTATATTTATAACTTACTATTTCTACTACCATTTCACATGTTATCTACATGCATCTTGTAAGTGTGCAACGTAGTATTGAAAAATCTTGTCAGCAAGCCACTATCATAGATGTGTCTGCAATTGCCACACTGTCCCATTTTATCAGGCTACTGATACAGGTTAGACTGATATGCAGAAGACCCTGAGTTCTAATCCCAGTTTTACTATTAACTAACGGTGGGAACTTAAAAAAACAAAAACCTCTGGCCTCAGTTACCAAATATGTAAAACTTAAAAGATTCAAACTATTTCTTGTGTAGATGCTTTAAAAAGTAGCACATTACTTCTTTCAACCGAAATCTTAGAAGAAAGTGCAATATGTAAAACAATATGGGGTGTACATGTTCACCTCCTCCCCACCACACCACACGGCCTTAAGACACAATGGTAAGGCACAGCTTCAGATCTAGAAAATCAGTAAAATTCCCCCAAATATAAAAATTCCATAAATTTCCTAACCAATGACATTAAAATAAAAATGTTTCTCTGTTTGATCCCCGGGACCAGCAAATTAGGATGGAAAATAATGTAAACTTTGAAAGTATTATGTGACATGAAGGATGATGATGCAATGATAAATGCAAACAGAAGATGGCAGACTTCAAAATATCTAGAGAAAAATTGAATGTAATAACTTGTTTTGCTTAGGGCATAGTTTTGAACGTCATGAAAAATCTTAGGACATACAAAAGATTTTTAATTGGCAGAAAAAATGTCTGCTATTTGATGCACATAATTATAGCTTCTGATTACCAATTAAAATATCCAGGAAGTTTAAAAGAAAATGTGTAGCTGACACAAGTATTCTGATCTTTGTGGCAAGAATATAAGCACGGTTTTACTGGCCTGTTCAACTGGCTTATTATAAAATCTTAGGAGTACAGGCAGCTAAACACAGACATAAACACCACGGCAATATTTTTCCATTAGTTTATTTGATTCTTAATAGTAGTAAGCAAACTCTATGAAATAATTTAATGCATGGGTATTTAATTTTTTAATAAAAAAATCACTGTGTTTCCCTATCCATTGGAAACTATCATGGTTTCTGATTAACTAAAGGATTACATGAAATTTGTACCATTATAAATATTTTAATACAACCTAGTTTTTTGGTCGTGTTCTGACAGTGAAAAAGCATTACAGTAAATACTATTAACTCAAGTTCTAAAATATATTAAATTGATGACTCACCTTCCAAGCATGGTAAGTACCAGAGGGGTCGGTCTGATATAATCTTGGGATACCATCATCATCAAAGCCTACAATTAAGGCAGAAATACCAAAAGGTCTTCGTCCATTGCTCTGAGTATATTTCTGAAAAATAAAATGTTGTCATAACTACTTTCTGTATGAGGTCACACAAAGGATAACATTACTTATCAAATAACAAATTCCATTAGTAAATAAAGTATTCTTGTCAAGATGATCTTCTTTATAGATTCTTTATATCTTTTTTCTGCCCCATCCCCTGCAATTCTGTATATCTTTAAAATCCTTTCCTAACCTTTTCTGTACTAACCTCAATCCATGATTAACATTTTTAAAAAGTTAATGTATAGTATCTGTAAAAATAAAATCAGGGGCCTACCTGGTGGTGCAAGGGGTTAAGATGCAGCACAATGAAGCTATCCACAGCCGCAGCAGCACCAGTTTGATCCCCAGCCAGCGAGCTGACCCACATGGCACAGCAGACCTCTCCTGTCTTGCCTGCACCCCTCAGCAGTGCATTTCAGTACATCTGCCTGTTCTGCTCCCCACTTTCTCTCGGGTGAATCCTCTCACCCACTCACCTCTTGCCTACACCCTAGCTCGTAAATGCATAGATAAGTAAATCTTTAAAAAAAAAAATAAAATCATACACTTGCATATATGCTCTTAACACTATTTTCTTTTTGCCTTATGTACATTTTGGTAATATAACTATCAATAGATTGTAATCTTTTTAATATAGCAGAGGATTGTGTATGTCACAACATTTTGGTTCTTAGTAAAGCTGATTTCAATCAGCTGTGTTTTGAAAGCAAGTCCTTGGTTTACTTTGAGGAACCCTGTAATTATAACTATCATTATCAAGTATTCCTTTTTGATACTATTATCAAGTATATTCTTTGGACTATATACTAAGTTGTTTCTACATAAAAACCCAACTAAGATATTTCTTTCAGGACCAAAACAAGACAACCTTTGTTTCTCTTGGGAAAAAAAAAAAAAAAGAAATAACGCATGCTATGCTTTTTCCTTGCAGACAATGGGGCTATAGAAACCAATTATGTTTCTTTTTACTTCAGTGCCAGGAACTTCCTGGATTTGTGCTCCAGGGAGTGGAATTCACACTAATTTTGAGACTGGTGCTCCTAGAAATTGTGCAAAGAGGCAGACCTGACAGAAAGCTCAGGATTACATGTAATGCTGTGGCTTGAAATAGATTAATACTGGCTTCCTTCTTGAATTTGTCCACGCATTACATCTCTTTTTAATTCTTAAAATTTATCACATGTATTTTTATGCATCACTTCAAATTCTGGATACAAATAGTTAAACTGCAACCATAACCTCTAAAGAATAGGGTTTATACCTTACTTCCCTCTGCATTTCCTAATGTTCTTTGTTTACACCAAGATAAGAGGTCTTTTTTCTTTATCTACTCGATTTGTCATTTTTTTTTAAATGAAAAAGAAATACATACAGAGATAATATAATTTGAAAGTACAAAAAGTATACAAAGTATACCTTTTGTCCCAGAGCTCCAGGCTCCTCCCCACTAGCAACCCCACTGCTACAGATTTACAATGTATACTTCTATAAATGTTCTATACATAGCCTTTATGTTTCTAGAAGGAAATCTAAAATGCACAGTTAGGAACCTTTTGTACATAATATGCTGCATCTTATTTATTTATTTTTTTTTGGTGGGTACCTTTTTAACGACTGGGGAAATCAAAGCAAATATAAAAGAAAAGTAGAATAGGAAGTTTTTGCCTCTCTTGCAACAAAATAGGGAACATCTTATAAATATGTACTTAAAACTTTAATATCTAGAATATGGAGTCTATAACAAAAATCTCTACATGGACAAATGGTAATAAAGTCCATGCCAGAAAGCAATATGCTTTAAATATATTAACTCATTTAATTCCTAATGCAACTCAACACTGAGAGGTATTATTTTAATGACTATTTTATAAATAAGAATATTGAGGCAAAAGAGGCTCAATAATTTGCCCAAGGCATTAATGAGGAACTAGAAAAGCCAAGATTCAAAACCCCAAATTCTGGCACTTGTGGACACATTCTTTAACCACTAGTATGTTTGCCAAAGGAAAGATAGTTTACACTGGAAGAAATGAAAATAGCAAACCATGTGGAAATTAATCAACCTTACTACTAACTATAAAATACAAATTAAAACAGCTATTATAGCACTATGTTATACTTATTTGCAAAATAAAAGAAAAATGAAAAACCCTATACTGATGATCCTTCAGGGATACATTTATGCATTGCTGGTTGCACAATAAAAATTGGTACAATCTTTTTAGGAAGCAATTTAGCTACATATAACAAGAGTCTTAAAACCAATTACAATTTCTAATCTAGTAATCCCATACCAAAAATTAATTTAACAGTATAATTCAAAAAAGAAAAAGAAAAGTTGTGACAAAGATAGAATAATGTTATTAAAGTAGCAAATTGACAGAAGTAATGAGAAAATGAAAGAAACTGGAAACAACCTAAATAATTAACAGATAGCAATTACAAACAGCATTATATAATTAGAATAAATGTGAAGACTATGTTGACATAAGAAAACAAAATGATAAATGAAAAAATACCTGAATACATTATAATTAACTTATGTCAAACTTTCTTATCTACATGTGAATTCAGTGGTCTTATTTAAAGCTGAGCACTGTGTTAGGTTTGTAGGTAGAATTGTGGGTATTCTTCAGTAAATGTGAATACATGGTCCCTATTATTACTTATCCGAAAGTGTAGAAATTCCCTTAAAAGTTTAGATTTACTGTTCTTTAAATATTAACGTAATTTCCACATCTGATATTGATAGAGATTTCTACAATAGTAATCAAGTCAATCATTCCACAGGAATAAGCGTGTGAGTATGAAGTAAGTGTGAGAAAGTACAAGGAATCCAACAGATTTAGTAGTCTGAATGATGGGAGAGATTACAGTATTCATAATAGGACTCATGATGGAAAAGGAGAAAACTTGGATTTATCTGTTAGGATTTTGACTTACCTGCTTTAAGGTTGCTATGAAGCGAGTTATGTATTCTACAGTGACTGGGTCCTCAACTGTAAGCTTATGACTCTGGCATTCCACACGGGCTCTGTTTATTACTACTCTAGCATCAGCAGTCAGTCCTAAGAAAGAAGTCAATACAGTACAAAAAAGAATGCCTTTTTCCTTGTTAAAAGGATTTTAACCACCAAGAAATCTTTCTTATAACATCCTTTTTCACAATATATGTCCATTATAAGGCATATGTGGAATATTAGTTCAACATTCTGATTTTCAAAATTTAATTTGATGCATTTTTATTTACTTTTAAAAGTAAATGGTTTTAAGAGTAAAGGTGAAATACCAATGTAAGTAATGTAAGTAAACTATTTCCCAAAAAACAAAAAGGTTCGAATTCACAGAAACTGGGCTGGTTATTAGGTTTTACCAAATGCATATTTTAAATCTCTGCATTTTAAAAAATTTTAAAAAATTCTTTGGGAGGAAAACATCAGTGGTCGACTATTCAGTGGTTGATGGGTCTATCCTGATTCCAAAACCAATTGCCTGAGTCATGAAGTTAGATTTCTTATGAAAACAATGAATATTCATTATCAAACATATATCCATTGAATTCAAAGTGCATTCAATATAGCTGTGACATCTCAGCTTTGGCTAAGATTAAAGATTTGCAAATTAAGAATCAAGAAAATAGGGCCTCCCCGGTGGCGCAGCGGTTGAGCGATGGGTTGCGAAGCCTCTGCAGCGCCAGTTCAATCCCCGGCTGCTCCCAGGCCACCGGAAGAGGGTCCCACATGGCGCGCAGACCTCTCCTGCGGCTGCTCCCCTCAGCAGTGTACCTCGGTCCTTCTGCCTGCTCTGCTCCCTGCTCTGGTTCTGGTGAATTCTCTTACCCTCCCGCGCTTCTCTCTGCACCCAGTGCTTGTATAAATAAATAAATAAATAAATAAATAAATAAATATTCAAAATAAATAAATAAATAAATAATTTTAAAAAAATGAAGAAAATACTTGGTCTTGCTTTTGCCATACCAAAACATGAATTCATTCATTCTCAATACTTTTATAAGAAAATAGTGTATTTCTATCAAATATAGCAAACTAACCCAAAATTTAAAGGGATGCAACTGTTGCTAACATTTCTATTGAAGACTTCTTTGGCGTTTGACCTCTTCATGGCCACTTTGTTGCTCTGTCCACTCTCAATATTATACTGCGTAAAAAACTAGTTCACAAAATCTTTGAAATAGCTATTTCTCATATAACCATCAATCTTTTGCAGTCACAAACTCTTGTTCTCCTCCAACACTGTTTCAAATTATGTTTCTACAAATCGGGAAGAATTGTTAGTCCCTGAAGATAGTTAATAGTAGTCAACAATGAATAAGCTGTCAGATTTTGCCACTGTTAGGAATCACTCTAACACTCATGGGTAGGGTGTGAATGATAATCAGATACTCAGTTACAGGAAGAGAAAGTGATTCAATTCTCTTTGCAAATGTTTCAGAGAGAAAGAAAGAGGAAAAGGTTGACTTAGTCTACCCTATTAAAAGCTTCATTCAATAAGAAAATTTGATTAGAAAGGAGATTTTAAGTATTTCCGCTTTACAAAATAAATGATCCTGATCTATGGAAATACAAACATATCATACTTAGAATAATATAACTGTTTTTAGGAGGGAAAATAGTGATAAATTTATCTAACCACATCATGTATGCATATTTATTTTTAAAGATAAGTAGCAGCAATTATATTAATCAATACTAAATAATTCAGAAAAGAACAATTTCTATTTAAAGATAACAGTGAAAACTGCAATTTCATTTTGTTTATAAATACATAATCTAGAGAAGAAAACAGTGCTTTTATTGTTATACCACAACTTTATATACTATCACAATGTAAAATTTCTATTAAATGGAATTTCTTTTGCTACATGAAATAATATTTTTTTTCAATTTTTGAAATTTCTCAGGGGTTGTTTTCCATATTGAAAGCACAATTTAAGAATATTAATAACAAAATGTGACTTTTTCAAATGTGCTGTATGTAATATTTCTGATATGTGCTCACTGTAAAATATTTCAAAAGAGGGAATAAAAGCTACCATACAATTCACAATTCATAAATAGGACCATATTATATATATTCTACTGTAACACACTAGTCTAAATATATGTTGTGGATCCTCTCCAGTGTCACTACATATAGATTCCATGACCTCCTTTTCTAACTGCCACTAGGTAATAATAATAATATCCCTCACAGTAGTAGTAGTGGGTTACACACCCATATGCCAAACATTGTTCTAAATGCTTTCATGTATTAACTCACTTAATTTTTGTAAACAAATCAATTTAAGTTGGATACTATTTTTTTTCTTTTTTACTTTTTTTTTTTAATATATATTTTTTACATCATTGTTCATTTTTAAACAATGTTTGCTTTCCTCCTCCCTTTCCTCAGGTATAGTCCCCATAGGATTTTCTTCACCAATGCACCATGCACCATCACCACAGTCCCCTGTGCTCCTTCCTCCTCCTCCCCTGCAGGATGTCTCTCTGATTTATAATTGTCTGTTTTTGTTTTGTTGTGTTTTGTATTGTTGTTATTTTTTTTACACTGATGTCTTATTTGGTTCCCCTCTATCCCCACTATAAGTGAAACCATCCAATATTTTTCTTTTTCCTTCTGGCTTAGTTCACTGAGCATAATTCCTTCTAGATCTATCCATGTTGCTGCAAATGGCATGAGTTTATCTTTTTTGATAGCTGAATAGTATTCCACTGTGTATATATACCACATCTTGATCCAGTCATCTATTTTTGGCCATTTGGGTTGTTTCCAGATTTTACCTATTATAAATAGTGCTGCAATAAACATAGGGGGTACAGGTTTTTTTTTGAATCAATGTTTTTGTGTCCTTTGGGTAGATCCCTAGGAGTGGAATTGCTGGGTCATATGGTAACTCCATTTTCAGTAGACTGAGGATCCTCCAGACAGCTTTCCATAATGGTTGGAACCAGTTTGCACTCTCACCAGCAAAGTAGGAGAATTCCCTTTTCACCACATCCTTGCCAACATTTGTTGTTGCTAGTTTTTTGATATGTGCCATTACGTTAGATATGATCACTAACCCCATGTCACAGATGATTAAAGTGAGGCAAGGAGCCACAAAGTTCCTTGCCCAAATTCACAGGTGTAGTGGACAATGGAGTCTGGTTTAGAACCCAGTTGGGATGGTTCCAGAATCTGTACTTTTAAGCTACCGCATAGACAGACCATGATTTATTTTACCAACTCCCCTCAGTTAGACATTTTAGGTATGACACAGTTACAAAATCAGTTAAAAGTGGGGGAGAATACTAGTAAATACTTATTTTACTCTGCTACAGTTATAAACATACTTAAATTATTATTATATCAAAGTCAGAAAGGTATGTGTGCCAGAAGTTAAAGCAGTCCATATCATATTAAGGTGATTCCTTTACAAATTTATTTTATTGTAGTAAAATATATATAACATAAATCTTGGAGAGTTTAAATACACAGTTCAGTGCAATTAAGTACCTTTTCACTGTAGGGAAATCAACACCATCCATTTCTAGGACCTTTTTATCTTCCCAAAAGGAAAGTGAACTTATTAAACAGTAACTTTGTTTTTCCTTCCACACTGTGGCAACTGCCATTCTACTTTCTGTCTCTATAAACTGGACTACTTTGGGCATTTCATGCGGAATCATACAGTAATTGAACTACTTAGTTCACTTGCCTACTGTCTTCAGGGTTCATTTATGTGATAATGGGTGTTAAAATTTCCTCCCTTTTTAAGGTACAATATTCCACTGTGTATATACACAAATTGGCTTATTTGTACCTTCTGACTATTGTGAATAATGTGTACACTTGGGGGGACAAATATCTGAGTTTTTCCAATTCTTTTGGATTATATACAGAAATAAAACTGCTGAATCATACGGTAATTTTATGAAATTTCCATACTAAAACTGGGTCGCTACATGCAAAAGAATGAAGCTTGACCACTACCTCATACCATGCACAAAAACCAACTCAAAATGGATTAAAGAACTAGACATAAGACCTGAAACCATAAAATACATAGAAGGAAATATAGGCGAAACACTCCATGATATGCACATCAAAGACATCTTTACAGACACATCACCCAAAGCAGTGATAGAGAAGGCAAAGATAAACAACTGGGACTACATCAAATTAAAGAGCTTCTGCATAGCAAAAGGGACAATAAAAAAAAAAAAAAAAGAGAAACCCCACCGACTGGGAGAACATTTTTGCACAAAACACTAATGATAAAGGACTGACCACAAAAATCTACAAAGAGCTGATGAGACGCAACAAAAACAAAGAAAATAATCCAGTCAAAAAATGGTCAAAGGGCTAAAAAGAAACTTCTCCAAAGAGGAAATGCAAATGGCCAACCAGGCATATATGAAAAAATGTTCAACATCACTTGCAATCAGTGAAATGCAAATCAAAACTACAATGAGATAGCATCTTACACCAGTGAGAATGGCACATATTAAAAAAAAACTAGCAACAACAAATGTTGGTGAGGTTGTGGAGAAAAAGGAACTCTCCTTCACTGTTGGGGGGAGTGCAAACTGGTCCAACCACTATGGAGAGCTGTCTGGAGATTTCTTGACCTACTAAACACAGAGCTTCCATATGATCCAGCAATTCCACTCCTAGGTATTTACCCAAAGGACACAGAAAATCAATTCCAAAGAGCACCTGCACCCCTATGTTTATAGCAGCACTATTTACAACAGCTAAGATTTGGAAACAACCCAAATGCCCAAAAATAGATGACTGGATCAAGAAGATGTGGTACATATACACCATGGAATATTATTCAGCATTCAAAAAAGATAAACACATGCAATTTGCAGCAACATGGATGGAGCTGGAAGGGATCATGCTCAGCGAAATAAGCCAGAAAGAAAAAGAAAAATAACGGGTGGTCTCACTCATAGCAGGAATCTAGAAAACTTAAATAAGGGACCAGGAAAAAGAATAACTATAAGAAAGTAAAAATCAAAATCAACAAACAACTATGAGCCAGAGACACTCTATGGGGGGTGGGGAAAGGAAGGCTTGGGGTCAAAATAAGGGGGTTGTAATTGTATGGGGAATATAAAAATAAAATTTAAATTAAAAAAAAGGAAAAAAAAGAAATTTCCATATTGTTTTCACAATGATATTATATCCAGAACGCACAAGCCCTCACATTTCTTCACATTCTTAGCAACATTCTTAGCTATTTCCTGTTTGTTTGATTAACAGTGATCCTAATGGGTGTGAAAAGGTATTTCATTAGGGTTTTGATTTGCATTTCCCTAATGATTAGTGAGTGAGTGCAACATGTATGTTTTGGCTATTTATATATCTTGTTTGGAGAAATATCTATCTATAACCATACTACCCTGAACACACCCAATTTTGTTTGATTTCCAAAACTGAGTAGGGCCTGGTTAATATGTGGATGGAAGAAATAGCTATTTAAGCTATTTGTTTGCTTTGTTGTTGTTGTTGTTGTGTTCTAGGCTTCTTTACGTATTCTGGCTGTAAGTCCCTTATCAAATATACAATTTTACAAATAATTTCTTCCATTCCACAGATTGCCTTTTTACTCTGTGTCCTTTGAAACATGACAGTTTTTAATTTTGAAGTATTGAATGGTCCTATTTACTTTTTCCTTTTTGCCTGTGCTTCTGGTGGTTAATTTCAAGAAATTATTAACAAATCTAATCTTATGAAGCTTTCCTCTATGTTTTCTTCTGAGAGTTTTAAACTTTTGGGTCTTATGTTTAGGTCCTTAGTCCATTTTGAGTTGATTTTTATATAGTGTGATCATTCCTTTGCATGTGAATATATGGTTTCTCTAACACCATTTGTTGGAGACTGTCTTTTCTCTACAAAAGGTCTTGGCACCCTTGTTAAAATTTATTTGATCATATAGGCAAGGATTATTTTGGGACTCTCTATTCTATTCCATTTGTCTAAATGTCTCTCTTCATGTTAGTACTACACTGTACTAACTGAAGCTTTGAGGTGCATTTTGAAATCAGGATTTCTTCTTTTCCAAAAGTGATTTGGCTATGTAGGACTCTGACATGTCATATGAACTTCAGGATGGATTTTCCTATTTCTGCAGAAAACATCACTGGGACTTTGTTGCACTGAATTGCATTGAATTTGTTGACTGCTTTGGGTAAAAATGATATTTTAACAATATTAAGTCTCCTAATTCATGAACAGGGGATGTCTTTCCACTTATTTGTGCCTTTTAAAATTTCTTTGGGCAATGTTTTGTATTTTCAGTGTGCAAGTCTTTTTACTTCTTGGTTAAGTTTGCGCCTAAGTATTTTATTCTTTTTGATGTTATTCTAAATAGAATTGTTTCTCTTAATTTCCTCTTCAGGCTGTTCACTGTTAGTGTACAGAAATGCATTACCAAATATTAATTATGATCACCACTGAAAGTCTATTTTATATTTACTGCCTTACAGTTGGCCCTTTACTAATTTTACCTGCCTCCCCATCCCAACAGTCCTCACTGCTGGTAACCAAAATTCTGTAGTCAGAATCTAAGGGTTTGCTTTTGTTTTATGTTTTGTTTGCTTTGTGATTTTATTTTTCACATGAGTAAAGTTACATGGTATTTTTCTGTCACCATTCATCTTGTTCCAAATGGCAAGATTTTATCTTTTTTATAGCTGAGGAGTAGTCCCCTCTTCTACTTAACTGCTCTGGCAATGAACTCCATCACTATGTTAAACAAAGGTGGCAAAAGTGGGCCTCTTTTGTGTCATTTCTGATCTCAGAGAAAAAGCTTTCAGTCTATCATTATTGAGTGTGAAGTCCACTGTGGGATTTTGATATAAAATCTCTATTACGTTGAGGTAATTTCCTAGTTTGTTGAATGATTTTATCATAAAAGGGTATTGGATTTTGTCAAAGACTTCCTGAATCAACTGAAATGTAGTTTTTCTTTTTCATGTGGTATAGTACATTGATTGATTTCATATGTTGAGTCATACTTGTACTCCAGGTACAAATTTCACTGGGTCATGGTATATAACCCTTTTCATAGCTGCTGAATTTGGAATACTTACATTTTGTTTGGGTATTTTTTACATTAATATTTATAAGGGATACTGGTTTGCAATTTGCTTTTCCTGTAGTGTCTTTGTCAAAGTAATTCTGGCTTGATAGAATAAATCTACAAGTGTCCCTCTTCAAGTTTTTGGAAGAGTTTGAGAAGGACTGGTATTAATTCTTCTTCAAACATTTGGTAGAATTTTCCAGGCAAAATGTCTGGCCCTAGACTTCGCTAGGTCAGTTAGGTTGCTGAACTGAAATCTACCTTCTTTATTAATGTAAGTGTTTAAACTGTAATTTTTCCATTTAGCATGTCTTTTGCTATATCCCATAAGTTTTATATGTTGTGTTTTCATTTTCATTCGTGTCAAGATATTTTCTAATTTCTCATGCAATTTCCTCTTTGACCCAATAGGTTTTCAGGAATAATGTTAAATAACCACATATTTGAGTACCTTCCAGGTATCCTTCTTCTTTTGTTTTTTTTTTAATTGATTTCTTTTGTACATTTTAATTGGAAATAATACTCTGAATGATTTTAACCTTTTAAAATTTGATAAGGCTTGTTTTTGGCAAGATGATTCCTTTTTAAGACACTAAGATAAAAAAGATAGCTTTTGCTTAATAGGTTTTTAAACTTCAGTATAAAATCCTGGTGTGAAAAAACAAAATCAGAAAATGAGCCAAAAAAAAAGAAAAAAGAAACAAAAGACAAGAATTATGTATCTTGGGCCTCCCCTGTGGCGCAGCGGTTGAGCGCTGGGTTGCGAAGCTGCCCGCGGCCTCTGCGGCACCGGTTCAATCCCCGGCTGCTCCCTGGCCACCAGAGGAGGGTCCCACATGGCGCGCAGACCTCTCCTGCCGCCCACTGCTCCCCTCAGCAGTGTACTTCGGTCCTTCTGCCTGCTCTGCTCCCCCCTCTGGCTCTGGTGAATTCTCTCAACCTCCCGCGCTTCTGACTGTACCCAGTGCTTGTAAAAACAAACAAACAAATAAATAAATAAATAAAACATGCCTCTTAAAAAAAAAAAAAAAAAATTATGTATCTTGTTTGTTATAGAGGCAACTAAATTCATGGTAAGTTCAACATCACTAGCCATGAAGAAAATGCAAATGAATCTACAAGGAGCTATTGATACAACCTATAGTGCCAAAAATAAAAAATAGTAACAATAGTTAGTACTGCTGAGGATGCAAAGAAAATAAATTATTGCTAGTGGGAATATAAACTACTACAAACACTGGAAAACAATTTGGCTATTTTTTAATAAAACTTAAGTATACATTATCATATAATCCCGTGATTATATACCTGAGCATTTACCCTTAAGAAATGAAAACTTGTGTTCACATAAAAACCTGTACACCAATGTTCATATCAGCTTTTATAATATGGAAAAATTGGAAATAATGAAATGACCTTCGTGGGTGAGTTGTTAACAAAGTTGGTACAACTACATCAGAATACTATTTGGCAATAAAAAGCAATGGACTATTATTATATGCAGTAACTTGGATGAACTGCAAAAGGAATTATACTGAATGAGAAAAGCCATAATTCTATCCATAGAAATTTCTCAAATGACAAAATTATTGAGAGGGAGAATACATGAGTGGTTGCTAGAGGTTAGAGAGAGGAGAAGGAATATCATGAAGGTACTTTATGGCAATGGAAGAGTTGCGAATCCTAAGTGTGGTAATGGCTATATGAATCTACGCAAGTGATAAATCTAATACTACACACACAGACACTAGCATGTGCACACATGCAGCTAAGTGTCTGCAAAACTGGTGAATGTGAGCTTGTAACACTTTCAATTTACTGGTTTTTGAAATGTTACCAAGGGTGGACACTGGATATAAGGTAAAGGGGACTTACCTGTGTTTTTCTGTAACTTCCTGAGTAACTACAATTATTTCAAAATAAAAAGTTTAAAAAGAAAAGTTACATAAAGTTTTTTTTTTTTTTTTTTTTTATAGAGGCATGTTTTATTTATTTATTTATTTGTTTGTTTGTTTGTTTTTGTTTTATACATGCACTGGGTACAGTCAGAAGCGTGGGAGGGTGAGAGAATCCACCAGAGCCAGAGCGGGGAGCAGAGCAGGCAGAAGGACCGAAGTACACTGCTGAGGGGAGCAGCGGGCGGCAGGAGAGGTCTGCGCGCCATGTGGGACCCTCCTCTGGTGGCTGGGGAGCAGCCGGGGATCGAACCGGCGCCGCAGAGGCCGCGGGCAGCTTCGCAACCCAGCGCTCAACCGCTGCGCCACCGGGGAGGCCCCATAAAGTTATAATTGAGGTTATATAAGATGTATCTTTTAACATTTCTGTCTTATCAAAGCTCATTATCAGAAATTCTAGTAGCTGTGATTTTCCATAAAGGACAGGGCATATTTTTGTGTTTAATAAAAAGTAGAGTATAACTCCATGCTGTATAGATGTAGCACAATAGCTCTAGTGGGGCCTTTGTTTTATTATTACCATATTACACTGAGATACTCCACAGCGTCAATAGTACCTGCAAAAGCCATGCAGACATGGTCATCAAGGGCACAAATTTTCCTCACAGTTCTTTCATCTTGAAGCTTGGCAACAGATTTTTTTTCTACTCCAAGCACTACTATATTGGTACCTCGAATTCCAACCTGTCAAGTCATTAAAAATAATCATTTGTCAGTTTTAACATTAAAAATCAAGTTATTGTAAAGCATGATTTAAAAGACACTTATCTTTAAACATTCAATAAAAAGGAGAAAAGGAGAATTCTAATTCATCTCACATTATAAAATAAGAAAGTAAGTATTCAAAATAAGCTTAAAAAGGAATGAAAATATTTAAGGGGAGAAATAAGGAAAACAGAAGTTAATGATTGGGGGGAAACAAAAAATTATAATACTGAGATGTTTTTGAAAAGAAATAATTAAAAGAGATGTTTCACAATTAATCTTGGCCAAGAGGGGGAAAGAGTAAAAAACACATATACAAGTGTGAAAAAGTAGGCATTTAACAATTATAACCCTAAATTAAGAAATCTGTACACCTGAATGAAAATGATGACTAGAAAAAACTTCCTAGACTGACTAAAATAAAGACAGAAAGCTCATCTTACTAACAAATATGGGATAATATCAGAAAAGAACTCTCCTCAAAAATAGATGTCAGGCCTAGAAGATTAATGGATAAATTCTTTCTCATTTTCTGATGTGAATAATTCCTATACTATTTATTCTATGCTACAAGTCAAAGTGGAAATGTTCCTAACTCTTCTTAAGAAAGCTATGTTAACAATATTAAATCTGGCAAATGTAACACTCTCTATAAATAAAGAAAAGTACTAAAGGATTCTACTTAAAGCTAATGCCCAAAATTCAAAACAACATATTCAAAACAGAATCCAGAGTTCCAGAAAAATATGTAAAATGCATAAATAAGTACAGTTCATTCCAGGAATTTTAGAAGTGTCAATAAAAGTAAATCTTTGAAAATATAAATGTTACAAAGGTTAATGGAGATCTCTTATTTGTCCTATGAACAAATGCACTTCAATTGTTCTTGGAGAAATACTGTCTTTAGGTGGGGCTGTAATGTAATCCAGAGTAGCTAAACAATAAATTCTTAAAGTTTTATTGGAAGTGTTTGGAAAATTGTATAATTATTTATCACTGGGAACCTTGAGGCTAGGGATATTTACAAACTACCATTTAGAGAAGTTTTGTCTTGAGAGTAAAATATGGAAAGGAAGCATGAGATGAAGAGAGGCACAGACCAGTTTTGCTGATATCACTTAAGAACCTAGCAGTCACACAGCTGAGCCTAAAAGCAAGATTTAACCCTTGTTCCCTCTGGATACTTGATTCACTTCTTAAAAAAACTACAGAACAGGGCCTCCCTGGTGGTGCAAGGGGTTAAGCAACGCAGCCTCTGCAGCACAAGTTCGATCCTCAACTGGTCAGGGAGCAACCCACATGGCACAGCAGACCTCTCCTGACTTGCCCGTTGCTCCCCTCAGCTGTGTACTTCGTTCAATCTGCCTTTTCTGTTCCCCACGGTCTCTGGTGAATCTTCTCACCTCCCCACATCTCTCGCCTGTACCCCAGTGCTTGTATGCATAAATAAATAAATCTTTTAAAAAAAACAAACTATAGAACAGATACATTTTTCCCCCTCAAATTAGTCTGAGTTGGATTTCTAAGGCTTGCAACTAAAACATCCTAACTGAAATAAATAAATAATAAGAACAAAAAGTTAAAGATAAAAGCTTATTAAAAGTATCACAAACTGAGAGCCAAAATCATCTCAGAGAAGGAAACACCATTCTACTTAACTGTTCAAGTCAAAACCAAGGTTGTCATACATTTTAGCTCCTCCTCCCACATCATCTATTTCCAGTCAATTACCAAGCTATTGTCCAGTCTATCAGTAAAAGCTATTAACTTCTATCACCACTCCAGTTGAAATAACCATCACTTCTTGCCTCGATGCACACTCTACATAGCCTACTAGGTTTTCCAGTTTCTGCTCTTGCTCCCCACCTTTCCATGCCCTAACTCCCAACATATACCTAGTCTCCACCACGCAGCCCAGGTGATCAGATAATAATATCAGTTGGGCTAGATATTCTCCAGTTGAGTATCTTTCCACTGTACTTAGAAACTTTTTTCAAACTGCTTTGTCTTGCCTATCAAGTTAGGCGTGCTCTAGACCTATTTCACCAACAGTAAGTTCACTGCTTACCAACCATAAGATCCACTGTCTTCTTTCAAGATTTTCTCAAATTTAATTGTTTCCCTCCTCTTGTTACAGCGCAACCCCGATATAAAACTGGTTGCCTGACTGTTGGTCCTCACCCAGGTGCTTAAAGGGGACTTAAACTGCAGGCACCACAAAAGGTTAGTCAAAGGTTTATTTACAAGGAAAGGGGAAATGAGGACATGAATAACTCAGGGAGAAAAAGAGGGAGACAAGTTCATAAATGAATCCTACCCATTCTGCTGACCTGGAATTCCAATGATCCGCTGAGACCAAGCACTGCCTGGCCAAGAGAGCGAGCCAAGAGAGAGAGGCCCTCTCACATGGCTGGTTATAAACACAAACAGAAAAAACGGCTGCTTAACTGTGCCCTTAGGTCCTTGCAACCTCCCTTTGGGGATCATGGGATTTGTAATTCCCGGTGTCTTGATGGAGTGGGGGTGGAGTCCACAAAGTCTATATGGAGTTTGCTCAGGACATCCTTTCCCCCTGACACTCTTAGCCTTTACATGTGGTATACCCTCTACCTGGAATGCTTTTATTTCAGGTCTCTCTTAAATCTTACCTAAATTCATCCTTCCCTATTCGCTGAACAACTTGTTCTATTCTTGAAACCAACATTTACAATGATGTATGCATTCATATACCTATATCTCTAAATAATAAGTTGTACAAGAGTAAGGAAACTACTAGACAAATCTAGAAAGTGGGACACTCTACCAAACAACCTAGTTCTTGAAGAAATTTAAGGCATTAAAAAAAAGGGGGAAGAAAGCTGTCCAACCATAAGATAGAGATACCTAACAGCTTAGTGTAATACATGGACTTTAGATGCAGAGTCAAATAAAAGAACTATAAAAAGATTTTATGAGCAATAAGGAAAATTAGAATATAGGCTATTATAAAATATTAAGAAGTTTTTGCTAATTTCATTAGGAGTGATAAGAGTTTCACAAACTTCCTTATTTTTTAGAGCTCCATACTGAAATATTACAGGTGAAATATTATGGTATCTGAGATTTATTTTAAAATACTCTGTTGAAAAATGAATTTTAGCCTATATTTCATACTATATACAAAAATTAAATCAAAATGAAATATTGACTTAAATGTAAGACATTAAACTTTTTGGAAAACACAGGAAAAAATATGGGGGTTTGGCAAAGAATTCTTGACAAGGCACCAAAAAGAATGAACCATAAGAAAAAGTGTTATATTAAACCTCATCAAAATTAAAAACTTTTGCTCTATAAAAGTCCATGTGAGGAGGATGAAAAGACAAGGCAGAAACTGAGAGAAACATCACAAATTGCACATTGGATAAAGAACTAGAATCTAGACTAAACAAAGAACTGCCAAGCTCAATAGTAAAAGAATCAATCCAGGGCCTCCCTGGTGGCCTAGGGGTTAAGTCTCAGCACTACCACCACAAAATGGTAAGCTGACCTCTCCTGTCTCTCCCGGTGCTCCCCTCAGCAGTGTATTTCAGTAGATCCGCCAGTTCTGCTCCCTGCTCTGTTTTGGTGAATCCTCTCACCCCCTGCACCTATGGCCTATTCCCCAGTTCTTGTATGCATAAATAAATAAATAAATAAATAAAAATCTTTTTTAAAAAAAGAGGTGGGTAGGGTATGTTATATAAGAGCAACACGAGTGATCCTTGTGAAGTTGGAAGAATCTTGGCTGTGGATATACGAATATATATTTGCAACAAAATTTGAGAGAACTTAATATGTACATAAATGAATGAAAATGAAAATGCGAAAATCTGAAAAAACAAGGTGGCTTCAACCCTGTGAAGCAGGTGTGACTTTGATGCATATTTTACCGTTAAAGAAACTGAAGCTTACAGAAATCAATTGGTTTACATGATACATACCTGGTTTCCACATTTCTGATAATGAAAGCTAGTTTATATACAAGTATTTACATAACAAGCTCCATGGCACAATGCAAAGAGCAGAGTCTTTGGAACCAGAAAAATTTAAGTGTCAACATAAGCACCATCACTTTCTGATTGGGCGCCTTCAGCAAGCTATGAAAGCTTCTGAATCACAGTTTCCACATATAAAAAAAAGGGATTAAATATTGTCCTTGATAATGTACATAAAATATTTGGTACAAAGTAAGTATCACCTAAATGTTAGTTTACTTCCTCCACAGTATATAATGTGGTAGAAATACAAAAGGTATTACATCATGTAGATTCTTAAAGATCTTACTAGCCAGGTGGTGTGAGAAGACTATGAAATATACCTAAAATTCAAAAGAATATGAGATGAAATAGTAAATACTGTAGAATGTTCTGTAATACAGCTTATACATTCAGAAGGATAAGATCCTTGATGACGAGAGTGGATCAGAGAAGACTTCAGGAAGGAGGAGAGATGTATGGAGATTCTTAGAGGGTAAATGAGATGGAGAGTGGCAGAAAGCAATGTATTCTCCTCTCTTCACTGACAAGGGCAGAGCTTATATGAGAGAAGCCATGAAGCTGCCTCCGTAGTTAGAGAGAATGGATAAGATTATGGAAGAGTCTCATGGCTGGGTCAGGGAGTTGAGATTTGATAAGGTAGTAAATGCAGGGCTAATAATAATTTGAGGTCAGGGAAAGAACAGAATAAAGACTAATAATCTTATCTTTTTCATGGGAATACTGTAATGGATTAACTTTTTTTCCCTAAGAAGAGAGGTAATTACTTCTCCAAAAGGTTATTCAAACACATTTTTCATTTACAGGAAAGGAAACAGGCCTCATCCTCATTTCATGCTGCAAGATAATCATCAACAAGGAAGTAGAATCCAAAGCTGCTAACTGTGATCCATATAATTTTTTGTATTACTAAATATTATATCCACATACTGGTCAGAATGACCACCTTGGTATATTTATAAGTAATCATATCAACTATCATTTACAGACAATATTTTGTAAAATTTTAATAAACAAATGACTATAAACTTTACCACATGTAAAAGTTCACAGCGCCATAGGACCCACAAGGAAACACAATGAATAACTTCATACAAAGATGCAAATTATAATTTCAGAATCCTGAGACAAAATTGTCTCATCCTTCCAATGTATCTTTAAAAATGCCCACTATAGGTACTTTTATATCCTTACCCTTTTATTGCTCATTACAAAGGAGCTATCAATCAGTTCTATAGCATCCTTAAAACATTTAAAATGAGCCAATGTGGTTTCTTATTATACCCCCGTCTTCTTCCATTGCTCCCTTTATTTTAGGCTCTAAAATGTGGGCATTATTTTCTAACCATATGCTTCATGCCATGCTGGGGATTATATAACTTTTTGTTTTTATCAAAATGATACCCTTTTGGTTTAAGTTACATCAGGCTTGTCTTAAATTTACAATTCTAAAAAAATTACTTACAAAACAGAAGCAAAACTAATGGGCCCAATTAAATAGAAAAATACTTTCAAAATGATAAGATTCCTTCCAGTGTTTTTTTTTTAACACTTTACATTTGATAGATTTAAAATAAAAGTGAATTATTTCCCTCCATAACTAAGTTGGTATGAAAAGTGAGAAAAATAGATTCTGCTAGACTTACCAATCCTCATCACTAGAGTCTCAATTGACAAAATAAACAATAAACATGCTCATTGGCTCCTTTTGAATTCAGAGGCTAGGACTTGGAAGGCTTAAGGTAATACATCTTTGTTCACCAGGGCTCTTTTTTCCTTTTAAATTTTTATAAATCACTAAGGTTATTAAATATAATTAGAACTTGGCAGGAACCCTACTACCAAGTATTTAAAAGTTTTGCAGAAATGTGGCTAGGTAAACTTAAAGCAAGGTATAACATCTAAAAAAAATTCCAGTATTATTTCTATTTTTTTTAATTTTTTTTTTAAAGATTTATTTATTTATGCATATAAGAACTGAGGTACAGGCCAGATGCGCAGGGGGTGAGAGGATGGACCGGAGACAGAGTGGGGAACAGAACACGTGGACAGACTGAAGTATACTGCTGAGGGGAGCAGCAGGCGAGACAGGAGAGGTCTGCGGTGCCATGTGGGTTTCTCCCTGGCCGGCCGGGGATCGAACTCCTGCTGCAGAGGCTGCGGACTGCTTCATAGTGCGGTGTTTAACCCCTTGCGCCACCAGGGAGGCCCCAGTATTGTTTTTAAAGACAAATTTTAAAAGTGGAGATTCTTGGAGCTGAGAGCCTCTAAAAGGCTGTCAATTTTGCAGGTGCAAATTTTAGGACAATTACTGTGCACAGGTCAAAGTCTTCAAGTGATTCAGTGTTTTTAACTGTTTCCTCACCAACAAGGATTTAATTTCCCACTGATTTAATCCATATTTCTGGGGCAGGGATTATCGATTTTTATTACGTTTTATTAAACAATCGCTCCCTACATGAAGGAATTATTACTTGTCCACCTATATGGATGCTCCTCAGGAAATGGGCGATGAGCATTTAGGTGGACTGTTAAAGACTGGAAGAGTTTTCTTCCCCGTTTGCCAGGCACAGCATTAATATTTCTTCAAGGCTACAACACACACACACACACACACACACGCACACATTTTGTTTCTGTAGGTATTGTTAAACAGAGGAAATGATACAAGAGAAAGCTATGAAAATCTACCCATTTTCACTATGCCAATTTCAGCCCAAATTTCAGAAAAAGGAGCTTGCTCAGCACAAGGGATAGCCTATTTTTCACAAGTGGGAGAGGCTCTTTCCTGATGCCCCACAAGTTGATGTCGTCTGGTGAGTGACCAAGGCCTGCCACTGCGCAGGAGGCGGGGCAGTGATCAAAAAATTGCTTGCTTACCGCAGTCGAGCCTTTCTTCACTGCTTCCTGGGCATATTCCACTTGGAAAAGGTGTCCATCTGGGGAGAAGACAGTGATTGCCCGGTCATACCTGGACGCCATCGTGCAGGGCTACAACGACACGGGCTGGGTATCCCAGGCTACCGCAGCTCAGCACGTGCTACCCGGAAATGCTTGCGCATGCGCCTGCCCAGAAGGGCTCCCCCACGTGGCTTACGAGGCTGCGGGAGGCTCCAGCTCACCCTACAGGGCTAGCACCTGGAGGAAATTCTTGTGCCAGCGGGTCCAGCTGCAGGTCTGGAATCCCTTTTCCTGCCTTCGGAGCGGGAGGCTGTGCTGCAGGCTGTCAGAGTACCAATCCACCCTTAGTCCCTGCCTCATATATTCCAGTTTGCACACTGACCACATGGTATCTGGTCACTCTGGTTATAAAAAAGACATCAAAAATTAGGGCTTAGTGCCTCCCCGGTGGCGCAGCGGTTGAGCGCTGGGTTGCGAAGCTGTCCGCCAGCCTCTGCAGCGCCGGTTCGATCCCCGGCTGCTCCCGGTCACCGTGTGAGGGTCCCACATGGCGCGCAGACCTCTCCTGCCGCCCGCTCCCCTCAGCAGTGTACTTCGGTCCTTCTGCCTGCTCTGCTCCCCGCTCTGGCTCTGGTGAATTCTCTCACCCTCCTGCGCTTCTGACTGTACCCAGTGCTTGTATAAATAAATAAAAATAAATCTTTAAAAAAAATTAAAAAAAAAATTAGGGCTTAATGGTGAGAACTTGAAAGATAGGAAACTTTTGCTTTTGCAAACTTGTTCAAGAATCAACTTTCTTTTTGGCTTTAAATTCTAAATTTGTCTCTTTTATGTCATTTTAATTCTAAGAAAGAAATTATATATATATTGAAGATTTATTTTATGTATACAAGAGCTGGGGCACTGGCCAGATGTGCGGGAGGGTGAGAGGATTCACCAGAGACAGAGTGGGGAACAGAACCGGCAGACTGAAGAAATACACTGCTGAGGGGAGAAGCAGGGGAGACAGGAGAGGTCTGCTTGCCATGTGGCTTGCTCCGAGGCCGGTGGGGATCGAACTGGCACTACACAGGCTGCAGACCGCTTTACAGCGTGTTGCTCAACCGCCTGCACCACCAAGGAGGCCCAGAAAGAAATTGCATTTTTCATGGGCCTCCCCGGTGGCTCAGCGGTTGAGCGCTGGGTTACAAAGCTGCCAGTAAGCCTCCGCGGCGCCGGTTCCATCCCCGGCTGCTCCCCGGCCACCGGAGGAGGGTCCCACATGGCCGCCTGCTGCTCCCCTCAGCAGTGTACTTCGGTCCTTTTGCCTGCTCTGCTCCCCGCTCTGGCTCTGGTGAATTCTCTCATCCTCCTGTGCTTCTGACTGTACCCAGTGCTTGTATAAATAAATAAATTTTTTTTAAAAAAGAAATTATATTTTTCCAAATAGTGGTACTTCCATTTTCTGCCTTGTGGAGTGGATGATCAGGGTCATATGGTAAATTGTTTAACTTTTTTATAATTGCTAGTTGTTTTTTCAGAGTGGTTTCATCATTTTTCACTCCCACTAGCAAAATATATGGATGTTCTAGTTGTTTAACTGCTCTCTAAAACTTGATGACTCTCTTTACTTTTAGTCTTTTGGGTGCATATGTAGTAGTTTCTCAGTGTGGTTTTCATTTGATTTCCATGTTGATTAATGAGGAAAACAACTTTTTATGTATTCATCATTTATTCATATATGATCAATGTGTAGTGTCTTTAAAACTTCTGCCCATTTTTGTTAGTAGGGTTGTCTTCATAGTGAATTTCTGGATACAAACTCTCCATTTTCATGGTTCTTAAGTTTGTTTTCTCCCAGACCACGGCTTCATTTTTATTTTCTTACGTATCTTTCGAGAGCCTTTTTAAAAAAAAGATTTATTTATTTATACAAGAACCAGGGTACAGGCCAGATGTGCAGGAGGGTGAGAGGATTCACCAGAGACAGAGTGAGGAACAGAACAGGCAGACTGACTGAAATACACTGCTGAGGGGAGCAGCCGGCGAGACAGGAGAGGTCTGCTGCACCATGTGGGTATCTCTGTGGCTAGCAGGGATTGAACCAGCATTGCAGAGACTGCGGACAGCTTCACAGCTCTGTGTTCAACTGCCTGTGCCACCAGGGAGTCCCATTGGAGAACCATTTTTTTTTTTAAGATTTATTTATTTATTTATACAAGCACTGGGTATAGTCAGAAGCGTGGGAGGGTGAGAGAATTCACCAGAGCCAGAGGGGACAGCAGAGCAGGCAGACTGATGAAGTACACTACTGAGGGGAGCAGCGGGTGGCAGGAAAGGACTGCGCGCCATGTGGAACCCTCACCCAGGGGGCTGGGGATCGAACCGGCGCTGCAGAGGCTGCGGGCAGCTTTGCAACCCAACACTCAACCGCTGCGCCACTGGGGAGGCCCATTGGGGAACCATTTTTAATTTTAATGAAATAGTCAATTTTTCTTTCACCATTCCTTTGTGTCAAACCTAAGAAATATTTCTCTAACCCAAGGTCATGAAGATTTTTCTATTTCTTCTTGAAGAAGTATTATAGTTTTAATTTTTTTTTTTTATAGAAGCATGTTATTATTTATTTATTTGTTTGTTTGTTTGTTTATACATGCACTGGGTACAGTCAGAAGCGCGGGAAGGTGAGAGAATTCACCAGAGCCAGAGTGGGGAGCAGAGCAGGCAGAAGGACCGAAGTACACTGCTGAGGGGAGCAGCGGGCGGCAGGAGAGGTCTGCACGCCATGCGGGACCCTCCTCTGGTGGCCGGGGAGCAGCCGGGGATCGAACCGGCACCGCAGAGGCCGCGGGCAGCTTCGCAACCCAGCGCTCAACCGCTGCGCCACCGGGGAGGCCCTATAGTTTTAATTTTTTGTATTTAGTTGTAAATTTTTATTTTAAGTTACCTTTTGTGTATATGAGGATAAGGTAAATGTTCATTTTTAATAACATGGATACGTAGCTGTTCCAAAAACATACCCATTGAACTATCTTGGCATCTTTGGTAGTTTCCTATAGTTGCTGTATTGTATTATCACAAACCTGGTGGCTTAAAATAGAAATTTGATCTCTTAAGTTATAGCGTGAAAAATTTCCAAAGAGTAGACTATATTTCAATACTTTGGATCATTTCTAGTCTTAAAATATGTATTTTTCTTATTAGATTATTAAATATAAACCTTATCCTTGTTCAGTAATTTGTAATATCCCATGGGCTTTTACAAATTTTACATGTTAAAATTGTGATACTTTTATTTATTTATTTTCTTTTTATTTTTTATTTATTTATTATTTTATACAAGCACTGGGTACAGTCAGAAGCGCTGGAGGGTGAGAGAATTCACCAGAGCCAGAGCGGGGAGCAGAGCATCAGAAGGACCGAAGTACACTGCTGAGGGGAGCAGCGGGCGGCAGGAGAGGTCTGCCCGCCATGTGGGACCCTCCTCCAGTGGCCGGGGAGCAGCTGGGGATCGAACCGGTGCCGCAGAGGCTGCGGACAGCTTTATAACACAGAGCTCAACCGCTGCGCCACCGGGGAAGCCCAAAATTATGATACTTTTAAAGAATTGAATGTGAGATAATCATTTAGCAGAGTGACTGTGCAGAATGAATACTAAATAAATAAACACCTTGTTATTTCTAAGTCTTTTAGATAGAGCAGCTGTTTTTCAGGAAGGTCAATAAAATGCAGAAATATCCTGTTCAGTATCATGCAATACGTGGAAGATCTTGGGATTCCAAACCTGAGAATATAATACAGCAAATTAGATTTCATTGAGCTTCACATGGAAACTAATTTTTTAATGCAATACTATCTTATAACATTAAATCACAAACTATAATTGATTCAGCTCATTTTTAGTTCATTCAGTATTTGATATTCTAATAGGGAAATGCCCTAGATAGATGTCATAGTCTACTTTAAATGAAATCTTATGTACTATTGAAAATAAAGTCTTTTATGAAGAATTGGAGGTGATTTGTTCTTGCCTGGAATAATGATTATATAGAGAGAGTTGTATGCTGTTCTCCTTATAGTCGTGAAATCTGTGGAAACCACTACTCAAAATGACTCATCAAATGCCATGGAGACAGTGAGCAGAAATATTTTGAAAGATATTACCTGAGGGGTTTTGCTCTGAGCCCAATTATGAGTAGACAGGCTTGGTCTTTGCCTTCCCAATGTATTCTAAGAATTTATGGCAGCACAGGGACTTAAAATGTCAGCAAATTTGATAGTACATATACTCAATTATGAAGCAGTAAGCATTAAAGAAATGCTTATATGAAAATAATCACGATTACCTGCACATGCATGACATTTTTTGTTGATAATTTTTAATGCCATAATTATAAAGTTTAAATATTGGGTATATTCCTGGGTCACTTCACTTTTTGAGTCCACTGAAATACATTTAAGGAATACAAACAAATACATATGAAACAAATTCAAAATGAAAACATTTAAATCAAACACGGACAATTTTCTTATTACTTCTTTTGTTAATTGCATCTGTATTTATTAATGTGTTATCAAGAATTTGTGCAGATTATTTTGCTTTGAGCCATTGTGTTTGTTTTATTAGATTTTTTAAAAAACCTTTCATCTCTTTATGTGACCTCAGTTCCTCTTAAACCATCTCAATCCAAGAATTGTCTAAATAATCAGACTGATTTTTCTGGGTAGATGTAGTTGCTGTAATACATTACCACAAACTTGGTGGCTTAAAATGGAAATTTGATCTCTAAGTTATAGCATGAAAAATTCCCAAGAGTAGACTATATTTCAATACTTTGGATCATTTCTAGTCTTAAGAGTATATATATATACTTAGATTATTTAGATTATTAGATTATTATTATTAAATACAAATCTTATCCTTATTTAGTAATTTATAATATCCCATGTGCTTTTACATATTTTACATGTTAAAATCTTAATACTCTTAAAGAGTAACTGGCAACACGATTCTCCTTTTCCTCCCAACTCTGTTACTGCCTGATCTGTACTTTGGGATTCCTCTCATTTCAAAACTAATGGAAGTGAGACAGAATTTAGTAAGTGCCTCTAACTATTTTTCTCCTAACTCACAGCTGTTACAGTTATAAAGGCTCCAGAGTTCTAAGAAATTTCCTCCAGGCTGCAACCTTCCCTTTCACTCTGTATTTTCTACTTTTACAGGTCAAGCTGACTGATTGGGTTAACCAAGGAAGCTTGAGGATAAGGTAGAGTCCTTTAAATATGTCTTTTCTAAGGGAGATCATTTGTATTTCTGGCTGGACCTTTACACTAATGCTTCCCAACTGTTCTCATGTGATGGACACATAAAATACAATGGCATTTTTATGGCACACATGGTATCACAGAAAAGGTTGTAGTTACCCATGCCTAGAGGCTGTGGGTACCCTGGGCCCTACCCTTCTGTGAAGGAATACAACATTTCAGGCAGACCTACAGCCTATTCTTAGTGGATTTCCTATTCAGTTGTTGGAGAGCTATAATTTAAATAAAGAAGGCATCTATCTCTGGGTACCTTCTTAGAATAGGAGAACCGTGGGTATTTTTCATTTTTTAAAACCAGTATTTAGAAAATGCAGGAACTATTTCTACAAGTTCATTTTGTTCTTGAAGATTTCGATACTGTCATGCAACAGGACTATTTTTCACTTTTCCTACTGAAATACTGTTCTTAATTACTGATGTTCTTTTGAAAGCCAGGCGTTGGACACAATGTTAATAGTGGATAAAACTTTCTGTTCTAATTCAATAGAATACCAGTGTTTCCCCAAGGTTTAGGGTAGTGAAATACAGCAGTTAAATTGCTAAGTACAACTGCCATTAGTAGGATTATAAAAATTTTCACCCTTATTCTTAGGATGGCTTGGGTCTTTTCCCCAACATAGGCCTCCGTTTAAATATAGAGGACACGGGCCTCCCTGGTGGTGCAAGGAGTTAAGACACAACCTATGAAGCTATCAGCAGCCATTGCAGCAGGAGTTCTATCCCTGGCCAGGGAACTACCCACATGGCACAGCAGACCTCTTCTGACTCGCCCACTGCTCCCCTTAGCAGTGTATTTCAGTCAGTCTGCCTGTTCTGTTCTCCATTCTGTCTCTGGTGAATCCTCTCACCCCCACACCTCTGGCCTGTACCCCAGTTCTTGTATACATAAATAAATCTTTACAAAAATAAATAAATATAGAGGACAGGACTTGCCACCCTAACTCAAGTGAGTTGAGTGCTTCTGTTCTTTGGAATTTGTTTGTTTGCTAATCTTTCTTAGAGCTATTTTGGTTTACGTTTTTTCTGGTATAATAGTCCTATTGGAATAAAAGTTCTTTGAGAGCAGGTCATATACGGGACATGCTCACAATTGCATCCTAAGTGCTCAGCATAGAACACACTCAAACTTGCTGAAAGAGACAGACTCCTGGGCCTTCCTGGTGGCACAAGGGGCTAAGTCTCTGCACAATCAGTAGCCACTGCAGCCAGTTGGATCCCCAGCTAGGGAGCCGGTCCACATGGTGCAGCAGACCTCTCCTGGCTCCTGGGCTGCTCCCCTCAGCAGTGGGGAGCACTGCTGAGTAGATATGCTTGTTCTGCTCCCCACTCTGTCTCTGGTGGATCCTCTCACCACCATCATCTCCTACATCCCAGCTTTTGTATGCATAATATGTATTTTTTTTTTATAGAGGCATGTTTTATTTATTTGTTTGTTTGTTTTTTGTTTACACATGCACTGGGTTCAGTCAGAAGCGCGGGAGGGTGAGAGAATTCACCAGCGCCAGAGCAAGGAGCAGAGCAGGCAGAAGGACCGAAGTACACTGCTGAGGGGAGCAGCTGGCAGCAGGAGAGGTCTGTGCGCCATGTGGGACCCTCCTCCGGTGGCCGGGGAGCAGCCAGGGGTCGAACCGGCGCAGCAGAGACCGCGGGCAGCTTCACAACCCAGCGCTCAACCGCTGCGCCACCGAGGAGGCCCTGTATGCATAATCTTAAAAAAAAAAAATTCTGTCTTTTTTTTGAAGGGCATTTACGTGCAACAACAAAAAATTAAAACCTGCATCTTATTTTTCTGGTTTATTATATATGTACTCTGAGGGGTTGATTTTGAGCCTCATTAATGTTGGGTGGTATCGTACATAAAATTTTTCCCCCTATGTGTTACGTGGAAGTCTAAACTAACAGAAGAAAACACCCACGAAGGCACATTACCCCATTTGCCCATATTCCTTACATAATTCGAAAGCCTGTCCCCCTCCTCACACTGTTTTGAAGCTTAGCAGTTAGGGCCTAATTTACCAGTCACTAAGCATATAACTGGGAAGGAAGCGTGAGGGGGCTCTAATTCACAAAGTAATTCCAAAAACCCAAGACAGTGGAAATGAACCCACATTTCGACCACGAGCTTGTCCCAGGTGGCGAACTCGTCTCCTCTGGCCGCCCTGGCCAAGTCGGGCCACTGCCCGAGGGGTGGACACAGCAGCCTTCATTGTCCATTGAGGGTCAGGCTCACTTTCCACACGTTGGGCACGACTCGGTGTGCGTGCGACTGAGATCTGAGGTGCGCTTTTGGGGCGTAGCCGAGCCTTTTGAACCAGCGAATCCGCGTTCACCGAGTCCTGCCACCTCTGCCTCCTCTGGGCAGATGCTTCTCGGCTTTGCGCGAACTCCGGGTTCGAATCCCCCCCTCCACCTCCGGTGTCCCCGACAACTCCGGCGGGCACTTCTTCCCAGGCGGGGCGAGGATAAAGTTGGGAAAACTGCCCCCGGCCCCCGGCGGAGCGCAGAAACCCGGCGCAGGGCCGCCGCGGCGCGCCGGGGAGGGAGGCGGTTGGCGGCCGCGCGAGGGGCGGGCCGGCGGGGCCGCTCGCATTCCTGTGACAGGGGCCGTCCCAGCCTCTCCCGCTCCCGCGGCGGCGGGACCATTTCCTGAATCGCTGAAGCGGAGGGAGGCCGGGGGCGCGGCCCTACCATTAGCTCTAACAGACGGGGGCGCGGGGAGGGAAGGGGGCGAGAGAGCGAGAGGCCGATCAAGAGCCGGGAAATCCTTCCAGGCCGGCGGTTCCCGAGCAGCGCGCAGGCACAGGCCGGCGCGGGCGGCGCTGCTCCTCAGGCGCGGCGGGCGGCTGTCTGCCCGGCGCCGCAGCGCCCCCCTCCCCGCATTCCCGAGGTGGTTCGGCCCGAGAGGCCGGCGTCTCCCCCCCACCCCCTCCGCCGATCACCAGGAGCGCTCGGGACTTGCCCGTAGTGGTGACGGCGGCAACATGTCTGTGGCGTTCGCGGCCCCGAGGCAGCGAGGCAAGGGGGAGATCACTCCCGCCGCGATTCAGAAGGTGAAACTCCGGGGGGCGGCGGTGCCAGACTTATCCCGCCCTCGGGGGGCCGGGGGCCGGGCCGGCCCGGGACGCGGGGCCGGGGGCGGAGGCGGGCCTGCCGGGAGGCTGTTGTGCGGCGCCCGAGCCCCGTGGGTCCCGAGTGGGCGGCGGAAGAGGCGCGCCGGGCCGCCCCGGCGCCCTTCCCGCCTTTGGGTTCTTCCCCGCAGGCAGCAGCGCCCACGTAACCGCCGCCCGATTTCTCCAGGGATGGGGCGGCCGCGGGCGGCGGGGCGCGTGCGCCGGGCGGCGGCGGCCGCGCGGGGAAGGGCTGGTCGCGGCAGCCCCCGCTCCCCGCGCGTCGCTCTGGACTTACTTTGGCGTTGCCCCGCCCAGCGCGCGGCGGCGGCTGCGGGCGGATTCGATCTCGGGTCGGGGGCCGAGGGGAAGTTGGGGCGCTGCTCGGCGTCCTGCGCCGCGCTGCAAACTCTGCCGGAGTTAGGAAGCGCTCGGGGGAACTTGGGGGACGCGGAGAGGGAGAGGCCCGTGGACTTGGTTACTTTGGTCATCTCCGTGACCTGTACATGTTCATTTTTATCCTCTTCCATCTGTAGCAGATGATAAGAAGTCTAGGCGCGGAGGCTGCAGTGATGAGCTCAGGTCCCTGCCTTCATGGCCTTTACCGTCTGGTGGTGGAGACAGCCTGATGGTCGTGATCAGTTGCAGAAGTGGTCAGTACAGGGAGCTGCGTCTCTTTGGAGCTGCTGCTGTTGCGGCTGTTACTGCCATTTGGGCACACGCACGTTTTTCTTTTTTAAAGATTTATTTATTTATGCATGCAAGAACTGGGGTACAGGCCAGAGGTGTCGGAGGTGAGAAGATTCACCAGAGACAGAGTGGGGAACAGAACAGGAAGATTGACTGAAATACACGCTGAGGGGAGCAGCGGGCGAGCCAGGAGAGGTCTGCTGCGCCATGTGGGTGTCTCCCTGGCTGCAATGTCTGCGGAGAGCTTTGTAGGTTGTGTCTTAACCCCTTGTGCCACCAGGGAGGCCCCACACACAAGTTTTTCGTTGTCCACTACTTCTGTTGCCTCCGAGCAGGGCAGCATTCTGAATTTCAGTCCGCTAGACTATGGAAAGTTCTCGCTATATTTAGCAGTGAGGCTTGAATGTTTTTGTTTTACTTCATGCACTGGGGGAGGTTGAACATTGAACAAAAGTCAACTATCAGTACCTCTCAGAACACTACTCTTATGCCCAATAGATTATGTTAATCGGTTTCTGTTTACTGTCATATTCTTTGTAGTGTGGCTTTTGACATTTGCCCAACTGTTGCTTTGTTTTAGGAAGAAACTGACTTGGCAGGGCCAGAAATGCAGTGCTTTCAAATGGTCCATTGGGCTAAGACTGCAAATGACTTCCAAGTATATAAATGCAAAATGTGTTTACGGAGGGGTTCAGTTTTTATTTTTATTTTTGGACTGTTGAAAAATTCAGTTTTTTTCCCCTTTGAGCTTAAATTATTTATCCTGCGTGATTAATTCAGGAGATGGCTGATCGGTTATTTTTAATTCTAAGGTCAGAAGAAAAGTAGATCCCAATTTAAGTACTTCATTCTGCACTGTGAGAATTTGATGTTAGAGAGTTGACAGATTCTTACAGGGAAGTTTGTTGGATTGAGAAATTTACAGAGATGATATGTTATGAAATCCTTAAATTGAAGATTAATGCATTTTTAAGGATTTATCTTTTGACATCCAGTTATTCTATTTAGGAAGTAATTGCTTATTTGGAAGGACATGTTATTTTTCTACAACAAGTGAAAATTATGTTCATATGCAAAAATCCACAATCTTAAATGGCCCTTCATTTTTAATTACAAGTTGCAGTAACCATATTATTGAGATAGCATGATTATGGCATTACAGGGTTCCCCCCCTTAAGGGTGGGGATAATTCCAAGATCCCCAGTGGGTGCCCCTGAAATCACAGATAGTACTGAACCCTGTATATACTGTTTTTTCCTATGCATATAAACTTATGGTAAAGTTTAATTTCTAAATTAGGCATAGTAAGAGTTTAAAACTAGTAACATAATCGTATAGAACAGCTATAATGATATACTGTAATGACAATTACGCATAGGTGGTACCTCTCAAAATATCTAATTATAGGCAATATTTTCCAATTGAATTAAAACAGATAAGGGTGAACTGCTGCATATTTTCATTGAATGCAGGAAGGATGCTGGATGTTAAGGAGGAACATCTGTCTGCTCCTGTGCCTTGATGTTACAGATAAATCTGAGCCCCTAAAATCTTAAGTGGTAGACATAAGGTAGCAAGCAAACCTGGCACTAAAACTAACTGGACTTTTAATTGCTACATCAATACTCTTTCCTCAGTGACACTTTGCTTAGATGTATTATTTGACCCTTAAAGCCATTGTTGCTTTGCATTGTTATGAGAGAGTGTTCAACTGATACGCTTTTTGCTTTTAAACTTTCTGAGTAACTTAATTATAAGGTAAGCTCATAGAGTCTACAGTAAATACACATGTGCAGAAATTATTGTGTTCAATCATTCCATATTTGGACAGTCAGCAAACTATACTGATAAAACTTGGGAACTAGACAATTATCTCATCAAGCCACCTGGGCTGAAGTTTTCTTGTGTTTACTTCATTGTGGATAAGCACAGAATTTTCTTTACTACTGCATCAGTAAAATGATGCAAAGCCAGCTGGGACTCTACTTTGCGTTTCAACAGCCCAAATCTTCTATGACAGATAGCAGAGGTAACTAAATGGTCACATTCAAAAGGAACTCCAAAGTTTCCCTTTTGGACTTTAGGTAATTCAAAGGAGAGACTTGGGAATATAAGTGTTAAAAAATTGAATTATTGAGTAAATATGATATTATCCCAAAGTTGTAAAATAAGATTTTCTGTGGCGAGATATTGTATGTCTAAAAAGGACCTGAGTGGATTCAGTTACCGTATAGATAAAGATTTCTAGAAATCTGAAGGATTAAATTTTTTTAACTTAATGTACTATATTTGCGATAATATTTTCTTATTTTATTTCAGATGTTGGATGAAAATAACCATCTTATTCAATGTATAATGGACTATCAGAATAAAGGAAAGACCTCAGAGTGTTCTCAGTAAGATTGATATGAAAATTTTTTTTATTATTCGTGTGATTTTCTGTGTTAGTGTATTTTTCACTTCTTTAAATAACAGTTTTATTGAGATATAATTCACATACCATACAATTAACCTGTTTTAAAATGTGTAATTTAATGGTTTTTATATAGTTTATACAGTTGTATTTCCATCTCTTCAACTTTAGAATATTTTTGTCAAACCTTAAAAACACCTCTTTTAAGCAGTCACTTCCTCTTCTTACCTCCTAATCCCTTACCTCCTCGACAATGGAATTGCTTTCTGTGTAGATTTGTATGTTGTGGACATTTATATAAATGGATTCATACAATATGTGGCCTTTTTTTTGTCTGACTTCTTTGACTTAGCATTATATTTTTAAGATACATCTATGATGAGGCATGTATCAGTACTTATTCTTGCCAAATAGTCTTCCATTGTTTGGCTATACCACTTTTTAATCCTTCAGTGATGTTTTCCACTTCTTTATAAATTATGAATAATGCCATTTTGTGAATGTGTATGTGTGCTATATTGTGTGCCATTCTTGGTTTTTTCAAAAGAAAATTTGTTCTTTGGGATGGAGTTAAGTATCAGTTATTGTCCTGCATTAACAGTGACTTCACATTTTTGTATAGTCTGTTTTGTGGAAAAGTAGAATCTTCATGTGTTTAGGATATTTAATTGCATTTACATAAGCAGCTCAGAAAGCACAGTTTATACCTGGTAAATAGAGAATGATAGTCATGCATAGGAACCAAGCTTATTATTATTATTAATTTTTAAAGATTTATTTATTTATTTATACAAGCACTGGGTACAGTCAGAAGTGCGGGAGGGTGAGTGGGACCCTTGCTGGCAGCTGGGGATTGAACCAGCGCTGCAGAGGCTGCGGGCAGCTTTGCAGCCCAGCGCTCAACTGCTGCGCCACCAGGGTAGGCCCCCAAGCTTATTATTTTGAAATAATATATCTGAATAATAATGTTGAGTTCATTCTTGTTAGACATGTTTGGCTGGAATATCTGTGATGTGTCAGTTTACACTGTGCCTTATGACAGTCATGTCCAGATCTGGAACCAACTTTTCCAGCTGGAGTCAGCAAAAAGTCTAGTATTTTATTCTTTTTCTCACATATTGTATATGTGTATTATCATTTCCCTCTTTCGCTGCATATTGGAATGGACCTCATTTTTTCACATACATTGGAATACATTGATTTAGGTAGAATCCTCTGCTATTTCTTTTTTTAAAAGATTAATTTTATTTATTGATTGCATACAAGAGCTGGGGTGTATGCCAGAGGTGGGGGTGGTGGTGAGAGGACTCACCAGAGACAGAGTGGGGAGTAGAACAAGCAGATTTACTGAAATACACTGCTGAGGGGAGCTGCGGGTGAGACAGTAGAGGTCTGCTGCTCCATGTGGGTCAGGTCTCTGGCCAGGGATCGAAATCGTGCTGCAGTGGCTTGCCATAGCTTCATAGTGCTGAGACTCAACCTCTTGCGCCAACAGGGAGGCCCCTTAATTCTGCTATTTATTTTAATTCTGATGGATTTAATTTCGTTCTTACAGTTCTGTCGATGCTCTTCCTCAAGTTGTCAGAGTTGGTTTGTGACTGACGATGAAAAAATTGCTCCTCAAATTTAATTAATGTTCTTATTTCTCGTAATAGAAATAAAATGAAAATAAAGCTGAATGTCAATAAATGACAGCCATCTAGTCATTTGTAGTCCTGTTTTAATTAAAGTTTTGTAAAGTGTGATAACGTTGCCTGAAATGGCATTTTTTAAATTGAAAATAACATCTTTATATATATTCCTTTATCTAGCCTGATCTACATACATACTCCCACTCACTCATCTCTTAAACTGATATGTCCATGAATTACTTGTGCATAGATCCTCTTTAAATTGAGATAGCATATTTGTGAGAATGTATTATTGCTCTCTGGTGATTGTGTTGAGCATTTTCTAAATCAACCTATGTATTTGCTTTAGTCAGTCCTTATTTTTCATAATTTAGGGTGAGTACAACTGTTTCTGAGTGTGCAATAAACAATTTTCAAGCAAAAAATCTATATTTCTCACAATAGAAAGGAGTTCAGCTTTAAATCTCTAGTTGGGAAGATAACTTTTATTTTGTAAATTGTATGCCTGTTATCTTAAAAACAGCCCTATAGCCTCTAGGTAAAGGTTTCTTTTTAAAAATGAGTTTTTTTGGTTCACTATGTAATAATAGCAATAAATTTATAGTGGTTATTTTACCTTATTCAAGTCAATTGAGGTAGTGAATCTGGGGAAGTGAACCTCCCTCATTTAATAGCCTAATTATTATGGATATTTGGAAATATATGATGGCCTTAGGAAATTAGCATCATCAAACATCAAATGTTTAATGTTTTGTGTCTGCCCTTAGCTTATATATTTAATTTCTTTAATATATGCAATTTTAGAAATAATAAGCATAGTCATTAAAAAGTAAACTACTTCAGCAACAGTCATAAAAATATAGAAAAAAAAAGAAAAAAATAGAAAAAATAAGTTTCTAAAGAAACTGTGTCTCTAGTATTTGTAAAAGAGTCTACTTTTTATCATTTCTGTAGTCTCAGCTGAAGGCAAATTCTTCTAGAACCAAGAAGACTGCCTTTTACTTTTTGGGTGGCCTATATATAAACCTATAAAAGAATTTATACTACTTTTTACTAATGCTTATCTATGAGCCTTGACTTATCTTAGAATAAGCTTATTTAATGAATGCTATAAAATAATTTTACAAGAAGAAAATACTGAAGTTAGGAAAAAAATGTTAAAAATTACAATTTTTACCTACTCAAGGGAGTTAAAAGGTTTGGGGACTGCTGCGACAGTTGGAAAAATTGAATATGTTCTTTGGTTAAGATGGTTGTACTGTAGTTATAGTATAGGGGAGAAATTGACACATTAGAAGTATCAAGTTATTATGTCTGTAACTGACTCTCAAATAGTTTTGAAAAAAAGTGTACATGCATGCATGTGTATGTTGGTGTGTGTTTACAGGTGAAAAGAATCAATAAAAAGGTAACTGTGGGAGAAAGGTATTTGTGAGTTCTTTCTTTTTTTTAAAGATTTAATTTATGCATACAAGAATGGGGGTACAGGCCAGATGTGCGGGAGGGTGAGAGGATTCACCGGAGACAGAGTGGGGAGCAGAACAGGCAGACTGAAATACACTGCTGAGGGGAGCAGTAGGTGAGACAGGAGAGGTCTGCTGTGCCATGTGGGTATCTAGCCTGCCGGCCGGGATGTAACCTGAGCTGCAGAGGCTGCACAGCTTCACAGTGCTGCACTCAACAGCCTGCGCCACCAGGGAGGCCCTATTTGTGAGCTCTTTATACTGTTTTTGAAACTAAGTTTGAAATTATTTCAGAATTAAAACTTAAAATGAAATTGATGGTTTGGAAAATTGTCTTAAAGTGCTCTGTAAAGATGCTATATTTATAGATACTTAGAAACTCAAAGGAGTTAGTGATTTACTTTAGCTCTCATTTTACAATTGAGACTTTAAGGCTGTGACATTAGACTTAACAGTATTTTAACACTGGTTTATTTTGTACATATCAGTTTGAAAGGATCATAAATAAACCATATAGTCTTTTAGTAAGGTTAGGTATTTTTATTTTGATAAGGTAGTCCACACATCTCACATCTGGACATAATACAGCTATACTAATACTCAGCAAAAGAAAAGCTTCAAGGAGTAGACTTTTGCAATGGGTTACATGTGCTGATTAAATATGACTTACTGTTTTTTTTTAAAAATGACAAGATTGTAGAGCTTTATATCTTAAATTCTATTCAGTATCTCTGGATTAATTAAATAGTTCAACTAACTGGAGAATTGAAATTGTTGAAGAATTTCAACAATTATCCTTTATGAATGATTCAGTACAATGCAATAATTCTTGGTCTTTGTTTATGTGAAGCTCCCACTCATGTTTGGGTTACACGATGTATATGTGAGGAGGAACATTAAGAACATAGACTTGTTTTTAAAGAACAACAAAAACAAAAGGAAACTGGGAAATGTTGCATATGTCTACTACCTTGTTTGTGGTAATAGTATCAGAAGTGTTTGCATATTTCCAAACTTATCAAATTGTATACATGAAGATGTGAAATTCTTGTGTATCATTCATATCTCAATAAATCTGTAAAAACAAACAGAAAAGCATAAACTTTTAGCGAGAAAGCTTTAGGGTCAGTAAGAAATAAGTTTGTTTTTCCTAATAAGAAAACTGGTGAAATTAGTTTTTAAAACAGGAAAAAAAAAAATAAAGCAGCAACACATTTCCTAGGATTCCTTTTATGGTGTCTGTTTTAGAAAATTACTTTATGTGGCATCTGAATTGGAGCACTTTTTTTAGCTAAATAAAGTTCATTTTGACTTATTTTCATTTTTTAAATTTATCTTTGTTATTTCTTAATAAATGATATTATAAAACAGTCTGGTAATTTGATACAGGTTTTAAGTTTGAATTTTTGGGGTTTCCAAACACTACTAATTGTATCACTACCGATATTAATTTATTTTTTTTAAAAAAATATTTATTTATTTACTTATTTATTTATACAAGCACTGGATACAATCAGAAGCGCGGGAGGGTGAGAGAATTCACCAGAGCCAGAGTGGGGAACAGAACAGGCAGAAGGACTGAGGTACACTGCTGAGGGGACCCTTGCAGGTGGCCGGGGATCGAACCGGCACTACAGAAGCTGTGGGCAGCTTCGCAGCCCAGCGCTCAAGCGCTGCGCCACCAGGGATGCCCTGATATTAATTTAGTTTCATCTGAGTTAATTTTTAAAATTAAGAAAGAAGCTTAGCAAAACTGTAAGATCACAGTAAACATGTTTAACCGCTTATCTCCAGTAGTGAGAATTTACTTAATTTTTTTTAGAGACAATCCTTATTGATGTTGGTGTCGTATTGTTTCTTCTCTTTCTGTGCATTAACGTGTGTGTGTGTGGGGGGGGTTGTTTTTGTTTTTTGCAGTTGAAGACACCTATTTATTTTCTTCTATAATAAGTCCTGATAGATGGGCAGTAGAACCAGAGCAGACTTTTTTTTAAAAAAAAGATTGATTTATTTATACAAGAAATGGGGTACAGTCAGAAGCGTGGGAGGGTGAGAGAATTCACCAGAGACAGAGTGGGGAGCAGAACAGGCAGATGGATTGAAGACACTGCTGAGGGGAGCAGCGGGCAAGGCAGGAGAGGTCTGCCGTGCCATGTGGGTTTCTCCATGGCTGGCTGGGAATCGAACCTGTGCTTCAGAGGCTGCGGACAGCTTCACAGTGCTGCACTCAACCCACTGTGCCACTGCGCCACTGGGAAGGCCCCTAGAGCAGACTTCTGTTGCAGGAGCCTGAAGGAAAAAAATATGTGATTCCTACCTCCATTCTGATATTTTAGCAGAGAATTCTGATTTAGAGTATAGATTTTTGGTAACATGAAGTGGAAGAGAAAAGGGAGTAAGTATGTTAGTCTTGTACAATTTATTAACTATTCCGAACCTCAGTTTCCTCATCTGTGAACTGGAGAAAATAAGAACTTTTATCTGATAGTGTCAGTTTGAGGATTAAATGAGATACCTAAGTGTATAATCTGTTGTATATCTAGTAAACATCAAGATCTCTGTTTGTTATTATCAGATGTTTATTTGGAATTATTTTTCAGAGGAATTAGGAAAATATTGAAGGGCTGTTGATGTTCAGGTAACATCTTTTATTTAACTCAAGAAATAATTAAGTGTGCTGCTTGTACTTGAGCAGATAGGAAGAACATTATTTTTTAATATTGATATTTGTTTTATTTTAATAGGTATCAGCAGATGTTACATACAAACTTGGTCTACCTTGCTACAATAGCAGATTCTAATCAAAATATGCAGTCTCTTTTACCAGCAGTAAGTACCTTTAAAATAGTGTGAAGTAGACAATTTCTATAAAGTTACGTATGAGATAACATATTTTTGTTTAGTGATTTCTGAGTTTTGTTTAATAAATTTTGCTTTTCTCTGAGAGCCTGAAGATATTTCCTATATGATGCAAAAACTTTATTGTTTTGCCTTTGCACTTAATTTGAATTCACCTAGAATTGATTCCTTCTCAAGAAAATTATACTCATCCATTCATTCACACACCATCCACCCACCTACTTATTTATTTTAATTTGTAGTTGCACAAATAGTTTATGAATAAATTTTATAGTATTTCATAACAAATCCCAGATATAATATAATTTCATCAATAAATATTTTATCATGGCATCTCTAGAACTTAAGGACCATCATCCCACCCAACCAAATTAACCATAATGTCTAATTTTATAATGCACAACACTGTTCTCAGTTTTTCAGCAGTTATCTAAAAAAATCCTGAAAGTTTTAATGATTGTTTGCCATAGAATCCAAAGTCCCCATGGATTGTATTGATTGATGTCTTAAGTTTCTTTTACTTTATCAGTTTATCTTTTTTATTTTCCTTTTATTTGTTGATGAAACTAGATCACGTATATTGTAGAATTTTTCACATTTTGAATTTGACTGATGGTATCCTTACGGTCCTTTAACATGTTCCTTCATCTCATGTCTCTTACTTCCTATAAACTGATAATTAGAAAGGCTTTTTTACAGTTAGTTTTATGTTAAGAATATTTCATTGGTGGTTCTGTGTATTGCCTGTTGTATCATATCAAGAAGAACATGCTTGGTTGCATTTTTAGTAATGTTAAGATTGATCATAAAGTTCTCCATCTACCTTTCATTTAATGATTGTAGCGTTTATTAATGCTTGTTGACCAGATCCATTATTTCATTTTGGGATCATAGAATGATGAGTTTCTACTTTTACTATTCCTGCTGCATTTACTAGCTGTATTTCTTTTAAAATAAAAAAAACTTCCTTTCATCAAATACTTGGTTATCCTGAAATGGAGAGTCCCTTGTAGGAAAATCATGGTAAAGGCTTGATTTTTATCCTGTTAACGATTTTCAGATTACCAGGTTGGTTCCTAGTAATCTGTGAAGGTACCATAATTTTTGTTTGTTTTTATTATCATCTGAATTTACAGAATTTTGTATTTTTAATGTGTTTTAATCCAGTCTATTCACTTTAAATGTTACTCAAGTTATCTCATCTTTGGTCAGTGGAGACCTCTTCATTTGGCTGTTTTCTCCTTCTGACATGATTCCAATATTCTTGGATAGCTTCTTTCAGGATTTGAGAAAGAGATTTAGCTGATTATTTTCCACACAGAACTATTCTGCCCCAACTGATTTGTTAAGCAGTCCTTTTTTCAATCTGAATGGATATTTTGAGACCATAGTTATCATTGGGTTTTAATTATTCCTAGATATTTTCAGTGAACAGAACTAGTAAATATATTTTTTTTCCCAGAAAAAGAAAAAATGGAATTAGTAATATTTCTACTTCAGGAAAGTTATTTTATTTAATGTTGATTTCATGTATTAGTATCTCTTCTGTCTTAGTCTAAAAGTTTTGGTACCTTGATGACATTATTATTATAGTTGCTTATTTGCTTTATAGTACTGTCTGTAAAATAATTTCAGTATCAAGATCACCACTAACAATAAGACATTTGTCCTTAACCTGTATGCTGTCAGGGATATATTAAGTTTTGTTTTGATTATGAAACCATTCTTTATCTTATTATTGCCATGAACTTGATTATCAGCTAGGTAGAATATATGTTTGTGAATAGAGTGAAGTGTGGGTTCAGTTTCACTTCTTTGCATATGGACCATTCTTTGTCCATTAGCTGTTGGATAACAAAATAAAATATCTTTTTTCTATTTTTCACATGCCACCAATGATATGTGAAGCGTCTATATATTTGTCAGTCTGATCTCACTATTCTGTTCCGTTGATCTGTTTTTATGAATTCTACTTTTCACGCTTTTCATAATCTAGGAAGTCTTGATGTATGTTAGAGATATTCTTTACTTATTTGTTTTTTTTTTAGAGTATCCTGGCTATTGTCCTTTGCATTTCTATATATATACTTAAACTTCAGTATGTCCAACATAATCCTGTTGTGATTTTCATTGAATTACTTGACTAAATCAATTGTGGGAGAATTGATACCTTTTCAAGATTGACTTTTCCAAGTCATGATTGTTGCCTATTTTTTGTGAGTTTTATTGTTCAATATCTGTCTATGAAGTTTTATAATTTTCCCTGGAGAGGATTTGCATATCTCTCGTTAGACTTACTGCTAGGCACTTCATATTTTTTGAGGCATGTTTAAGTGGAATCTTTGTTTTTCAAGTTTCATTTTTAGCTGCAATTGCTTTTTACGTGGAAATACAATTTTGAATCTTATAGTCTTGTTCAACTCTTATTTCTAACAATTTCTGTACATACTTTCCATTTTCTATATTCACCAACATATCATTTGTGAATAATGAGTTTTATTCCTTTTTTGCCAATCCTTACACCTTTTATTTCTTTCTTTTGCCTTACTTCTCTGGCTAGGACCTCCACTACATTCCTGAATAGAAGTGGTGATAGAGGACATCTTTATCTTGTTCCTGATCACAAAGGGAAAGCTTTCACTGTTTGACCATTAAGTATGAAGTTTGTTGTAGTTTTTTTGTAGCTCATCTTTTATCACATTAAGGAAGTTCCCTTCTGTTTCTGTTGTGTTGAGTAAGAGTGTATAACTTGAATGGATGTTAAAATTTTATTAAAACTTTTATTACATCTGATGAGATGATCATAACTTATTTCTTCATTAACCTGTTAATGTGGAAAATTACATTGATTTATTCTTTAATGCAGATTGAGTTTTGCATTCTTGTAAATTTACCTACTTTTTCATGACTCACTTGATCATGGTGTTTTAAAAAATTACTGAATTCATTTTGTTAAAATTTTATCAAGAATTTTATGTCTTTGTTTATGAGTGTAATTGAGCTTTAATTTCTTTTTCTTATGCTTTTTTTTCTGGTTTTATTTTGAGGTTTATGCTAGCTTCATAAAGTGAGCTGGAAAATTTTCTCAGTTTATCTGGAAGAATTTGCATAGCAGTTATTTCTTAAATGATTGTATAGTTTTTTAGAAAAGCTGTCTGGATCTGGAGTTTTCTTTGTGAGAAGGCTTTCATTTACTTACTCAGTTTCTCTCACGTTATGGGACAATTTATTTATTTCTTATTGTATGAATTGTCTATTTTGGTAAACTGTGCTTCTTAGCATTTTATCTAAAATTTTAGATTTATTGGTATAAAGTTAATGAGTTTCTCTCACGTTAATGGGACAGTTTATCTATTTCTTATTGTATGAATTGTCTATTTTGGTAAATTGTGCTTCTTAGCATTTTATCTAAAATTTTAGATTTATTGGTATAAAGTTAATGATAAATCTTTCTAATGTCTACAGGATGTGTAGTGGTACAGTTTTTATTTTGAGCATAGCTTATATTTGTGCCTTTTGTTATCATTTATTTAGTGATTTCTCTGTTGCAACACTTCTCATTTTGTTTTCATAACCCCATTATTTTTAAAAGTAGCTGAAGACACTCAATAGTTTTACATGGATTATATATGTTAATATGTTGTAGATTTTTCTCTTAGTTAAAACTGATAAAATTATTTATTAGTTAATTTAAATTGAACAATAATAAGCTCATTACATGTTTATAAATAACATTCTTTAAGGGAAAAATAACTGAGAACAAATTTAATGAGATATGAATGACACTTTATAATTTGAATTTCTTTTAAATGCTTGGTTTACTAGAAATAGCTATTATTTTCATACCTACTTCTGAATTCTAACTGGTGTAATATGTTTAGGTTGAAGAAGAAGAAAATTTTGTCCAATACAGACAAGGAGTTAGAAAATGGACGAATTTTTTTAGTAGCCTTTTAAGATTGTTGCTGATTTTCTTCTTTGATAGTAAAGCACATTTCAACATTTATTTATTTATTTATTTATTTATTAAAAAGATTTATTTATTTATTTATGCAAGCACTGGGTACAGTCAGAAGCGCAGGAGGGTAAGAGAATTCACCAGAGCCAGAGCGGGGAACAGAACAGACAGGCTGATGAAGAAATACACTGCTGAGGGGAATAGCGGGCATGGCAGGAGAGGTCTGTCACGCCACGTGGGACCCTCACCGGTGGCTGGGGATCGAACCGGCGCTGCAGAGGCTGTGGGCAGCTTCGCAGCCTAGCGCTCAACCGCTGCACCACCCGGGGAGCCCCTCAATAATTTTTTAAAAGATTTTTTGCAGCATAAAATCTTAAACTATAATAATTTATTTTGCTCTGGTATATTAAAATTCATTGGTCTGTCATGCATTTTGGATGAATCTTTTACTCATGCATTACTTTGGAAAATAATTCTTTGGTCATTTGAAAAATTGAAGTTCACTGTATTCATGCACATTTTTTAAAATACTCATATATTTTATTATACCATACCAAAACAACAATTACTGAAATTTCCACCAATCTGAGGAGCAAAGTGTCTGATAAGTATTATTGGGATGCTGTCAAAGTCAAGAAAGTAGATATCAGGTTCTCCCAAACCCCAGTTTTTGCTTGAAAAGTCATATTTGATCATTGGCAACAATGCTGTCAGTTGTTTCTTAGGCTCATTGTGTTCATTTTGAGCAAGTACCGTCAAGTCAAATAGGCTCGATAAATAGGGTTTGTCTAGTAATTGTTCCTTTGAATGAAAATGTTCCATGAAAACAGTGCCTACACAAGTGAGCAACTCAGTCACAAAATGCTTTTATCTTAGTTTCATATGCGACAGATAAATTTATTATGTTCTCATTTTGTCACACAATATTTAATTGACAGAGTATTTAATGAATGAATAATTTTTACTGCTCCATCAAGGACATAGTTTAGTGAAAATGACTTTTCTCTTTTTT